TTTGTTGAAGAGACTTTCTTTCCTCCATTGTAGGCCCTCAGCTCCCTTGTCAAAGATTAGCTGTCCATAGATGTGTGGTTTTATCTCTGGGCTTTCAATTCTGTTCCATTGATCAGTGCGTCTGTTTTTGTAGCAGTACCATGCTGTTTTGATGACTGTAGCTTTGTAGTATGTTTTGAAGTCAGGGATTGTGATGCCTCCAGCTTTGTTCTTCTTTCTCAGGGTTGCTTTAGCAATTTGGGGTCTTTTGTTGCCCCATATGAATTTTAGGATTCTTTGTTCAATTTCTGTAAAGAATGACATTGGAATTCTGATTGGGATAGCATTGAATCTGTAGATTGCTTTAGGTAGTATGGACATTTTAACAATGTCTATTCTTCCAATCCATGTGCATATAACGTCTTTCCATCTCTTTATGTCATCATTGATTTCTTTCAAGAAAGTCTTGTAGTTTTCGTTGTATAGATCTTTCACTTCCTTGGTTAAATTTATCCCAAGGTATTTTATTCTTTTTGTTGCGATCGTGAATGGGATTGAGTTCTTGAGATCGTTTTCTGGGTGGGGCCTCTCTGCCAATGGCAGGCAGAGGTCCTCCCTGCTGGGGGGTGCAGAACCCTGGAGCCTCCCCGCAGGCCGCAGAGCCGGGCGCTGGAGCTCCACCCAGTCCCCAAGCACGTCCATGGATGTCCGGGCGCCCCCCGCACTGACCTGTGCAGTGCCAGAGACCGTGGACCCAGCAGCAGCTGTCTGGCTGGTGCTGTGTTGGGGAATCCACTCTCTGGGAGTTTCCCTTTGTTCTGGTTTCTGGGCGAGAACTCCCTGCTAATGGCAAGCAGAGGCTTTCCCTGCCAGGGGAGTGCGGGACCCCAGAGCCTCCCCCCGCCTGCAGAGCTGGGCGCTGGAGCTCCAACCCCCATCCCCAAGCATGTCCATGGGAACTCCAGGCGCCCCCTGCACCGACCCGTGCACAGCTGGAGACCATGGGCCCAGCAGCAACTTGTGGGCTGGTGCTGTGCCGGGAATCCACTCGCGGGGAGTTCCCTTTGTACTGGTTTCTGGGAGGGGCCTCCCTGCTAATGGCGAGCAGAGGCTTTCCCTGTGGGGGTAGGGGGTGTGCGACCCTGGACCTTCACCCTGGGCTGCAGAACTGGGCTCTGGAGCTCCACCCAATCCCCAAGCACATCCACGGGAAGTCCGGACACCCCTTGCACCGACCCGGGCAGTGCCGGAGACCATGGGGCCAGCAGCAGCTGGCAGTCTGGTGACATGCCAGGGAACCCGCTTGCTGGGGGCTTCCCTTTGTTCTGGTTTCTGGGCGGGGCCTCCCTACTAATGGCGAGCAGGGGCTTTCCCTGCCAGGGGTGTGTGGGACCCCGGAGCCTCCCACCGGGCCACAGAGCCGGGCACTGGAGCTCCAACCCTGTCACCAAGCATGTCCATGGGAAATCCGGCGCCTACTGCACTGACCCGTGCAGGGCCAGCAACTGTGGGCCCAGCAGCAGCTGGCGGTCTGGTGCCATGCCAGGGAATCTGCTCGCTGGGAGCTTTCTTTTGTTCTGGTTTCTGGGCAGGGCCTCCCTGCTAATGGCGAGCAGAGGCCTTCCCTGCCGGTGGGTGCGGGACCCTGGAGATTCCCCCTGGGCTTAGGTGTAATCGCCAGGGGCTTGGATAGGGCTGTTGTCACCTGTTTCCACTGTCGCTCCGCTGGTGAGGGCGCACTCCCGCCCTTGGTGTGTGGCGATGCTATGGGGGAGTCCACTGGAAGAGAGCCTCTTGCAGGAACTAGGCTGTCCGGGGGTCAGAGGTCAAGGGTTGGAGAGTTTTCACCTGTTTCCACCTCCTCCCAGGGGGAAGTCCGTCTGCCTTCCGATGCATAGCAGCACGCGACTCTTAGGCATCTTGAGATGCTATCTGGAAATCCTTTGTTAATCGGTGAATGTCCAATTACTTGCAGATTCGACGGGGGAGAGACAAAGAAGACCACTCACTCTGTCATCTTGGTCCCGCCACCCTTAGGCCACTTTTTAAAGACACCCCGCCATAGATTGCCTGAAGATTTCTCCGTGACTACATAGAAGTCACTATTTTCCAGGGAAGAGTGTAAGGAAATAAGGCATCAATCAGGGCATTCCCAGGGAGGTCAGCTGTGGGAATGTCTCTGTGATGCAGCCTGGGACCTCACGTCACTGCTGAGGAAAGCAGAAACAAAAGGAACACCACTCGGGTGGAAGGCAGCTACTCAGAGGAAGCGTCCACTCTGTGACTGCCTGGTGGGCTCATCCCACAGGTGGAGCTGCACCCAAAGCAGCAGCTGCCTCCTGGGATCTGCAGACCAGAGGGGGAGCCGTTCCTCCAAATGGGGACCCTGGGCTAGGACCCATGACTGTGATCAGTGAGTCCCGCTTTTAGGCACTCCCTCACAAGAGTTCCGGGTCTGTCAGGGCCTCCTCACAGCCAGTTGCTCAGAGCGGGGACTGACATGACTCAGGCCTCACGCGTGTTCCCTGAATTGGCCTGCCTCCCAGCACAGAGAAAGGATGAGGAGCGAATGTGTTTTAAAATGTAAATCAATCAGAAAGCTCTTCCAGGAAACCTAATCCAACTGGAACAGTGTCAATAGTAGAGGGGAACCCCTGGTATTAAATAAAGAACGCCCACCCCAAATTTAGGGAAATTGGATTATTTCCCTGACATACACGATGATTTCTATCTCTGTCATAGCAGAAGACAGAAGTACAGGAATTGCCTGCTGCTCCGATATTAAGACGAGTTTCAGAAAGGTTCCCTTTTCTCTTCTATTCAATATTCCCTATTTCAGTAGGACCTGGAGAAACGATAGGAAGGCCGGGAACACACTGACATTTTCTTGCTCTGTTCGGATTCAGGGGATTCCGTTATCATTTAATCTAGTGATTCTGTGATAATATTCAAATGAGAAACTGAAGTTGTCTGTTCATTCACAAATACTTTGAGTCCACAGCAACCATCAGTTTCTTCTTAATTCAAGTGGAAATCCAGTTCCTTCAGGGGACCTGCTCCATAGGTGTGGATCTCTGTCTACTTAATGTTCTCTGGAGACGAAGAACAAAGAGCTTCTGACAGGTTAAAGGTCAGGGGTCTCCTGTCCACATACGTTCTGATGGTGTTTTATTAAATGTGGTGATACCTGTCCCTCCCACGTCCTCGGCATCTGTGCCGTGCGTTAGGTAATGGACTTTTCTTCAGGAAATGGCTCAAATCCAAGATATGGTGTTAGGTTTACTCTCTCTGCTCTGTTTCAACCTTTCAACCTCTAATGCGTGTTGCATTCTTTCTAAGTTCCTGGAGGCGGGCCCATTTTCAAACCTTCGTTACTCACTGCCATTGATATTTACTGTGCAGAAAAATTTAGGTTCACACAAAAACCTTCACAAGAAGTTCATAGCAGCTTTATTCATAGGGGATAAAGTTATAAAACCAAAAACTGTCCTTCAATAGGTAAATGGTTAAACTCTGGTGGCACTTTGTCTCCTTCTCCCAGGTCCCACCCTAGGTGCACAGTGTCCCACCATCAGATCATGCCGCCACACACTCACCCCCAGCTCCATTCCCCAGGAGGAGAAGGCAGGTGCAGGAGAGCAGGGCCCTGTGCTCCTCTGGGCAGAGAGGACAGCCCCGCAGCAGCCTCTGTGCTCCCCAACCGCCCACCCTCAGAGGCTGGAGCTCAGTCATGGTCGTCGCTGCTGTTCCAGACTGTGACAAGGAAAGAGGGAGGGTGACGCTGGGCTGAGAGGGTTGCAGAGGCCCATCTCCATGGCAGCTTCAGCAGGGACAGAAGAAGCTCCCGGGGCAGTGTCATCTATTCCCACCAAGAGCTCGAGATGCGGGGCAAGCTTTCCCCCTCCGGACTCAGGGCCAGCACTGCCCCACACTCCCCCCCCCCCCCACTCTGTGACCTGTGAATCTGTCTCTACACTTCCTGGAGCCTCTGCAAACGCCCTCCCTACAGCCCCAGAAGCTCAAGGGCCAGAGAACGCAGGAGAGGACAGGCGGGGCCCATCCTGGGCTGGGGTCTAGAGGTTTTGGTCATCTGGAAATATTCTAAAGCTTCCATTTGTTTTCCTAAGGATGGCGTGATGGGTACTTCAGGTGCAATGAGGGAGTTGGGGTCAGGGCACGTGAGCCACACAGCAGTCAGCTTCCCCCCATGGCCCTGACCCTTCTGGAAGCCAAAGCAGACACTCAGGGAGGGCGGAGCCTGACCCCCCATTTTTACCACTAGCAAGGCACAGACAGAAGCCATGACCTCTAAGGAGAAAAAAAATGTATTTGGGGAAAATTGGGGTAGGAAGACACCATTAGCACAGAGGGTGGGATAAGGAGAAAAACCAGGTTTTCTGTTCCTCCACTTCCACTTTTGGGGAATCAAGTCTTCCTATGAGGCAAGGTCTGTCAGACACAGTCTGACTGACCCCAGGAGACACGTATCTGAAGACAGCATGGCTGGTGATGGGGGCTGAGGCAGCTGCCAGCCTCAGCCCAGGCTGGCAGGGTTTGGCTGGGGACCGCGGCTGCCTGGATGGCAAGGTCCAGTTGCCGTGCCTGTTCTGATCCATTCCCTGGTAGTCGGACAGTTGTGGTCCCTGGAGGTAGGTTGGGGACTGTCCTCTGTCATTGTTCTTCTCTGGTCTGGGGAGGAGGGAACGTCGTGGTAACAGGTATGTCCAGCTTCCCAGGCCTGAAATGGTTTTGATGATGCTTTGACTGGGAGGCCAGAAGTTCTCGGCAAGCCTCAGTTTCTCTCCAGGGACGCAGACGAAGGATGTCACTGTCGATGGCGCCTGAACAGCCCCGCCATCCGACGCCGAGCTATGTGTGACCCGTGCCTGGCTCTGGGCGGTGGCTGACGCGGGCTTGCCTTTGCAAGGGGATCCTCTGGCGCTTCCTCCTTGTTGGGCCTCAGGCAGGGCAGGAGGCGTCTCAACATTTTTCTGAAAGGGCTGTCGTGAAAAACCTCTTCCTTTTCACGCAGGGGCTGGAGGGGTTTGGTCCCGAGGGTGTCTCCTATTCCCCCGACCTGGCTCCCAGACTGGGACCATGACTCCCCCTCCAGTGTTGCCACCCCACGGCAGGGCTCTGCTGATGCCCCACCCCGACTCTCCTCCCGAGGCTCATTCCTGGCCACTGGGGACCCTGAACTCAGCTCTCGACGGCCTTGCTAGGCCCCCACGAAGGTCCCACTCTGCCCTTTCCTCTCTGAGAGGCTGAATGGGAAGGTTGGAGAAGGCGGCCGGCCCTCTTGTCCCAAGAGAGAGGCTTCCGAGGGCCCACTGCCTTCCCCAGGTAGGGTCCCTCCCAGGGCCTTCTGATCTTCCTCACACACAGGTGAGGGAGCGGGGAGGGGACGGACCAGCCTGGGAACTGATGGTTTTGTCATCAAAGTTAAGACCTGGTCACCTGGAGGAGGCTCAAGAGGTTTTCCCATGAAGGGTGCAAAGTCAGCTTTCGAGGGGGCCCCAGAATCACAGGTGGCTGCAGGGGGCAAAGGGGACCGTGGAAGGGCCGAGGGTTGAGCCTCACATGCTTTCAGATCTGCAGGCTCCAAGGACAGGAGGGGTATGCCCCAGCGGAAATTCAGCCCAGACATGATACCGTGTGCTTCGAGCATCTGAGGAGTGCCTGGATCATCTGGTTCTTTTTCCCAGACCTCCGTTTGTATGCTTTCCGTGATTTCTGTCTCGAGTGGCTTCGGCACCTCAGGGTTGGCAACTGAGGGGCTATCAGTCTCTCCCTCCCTGTTTGTGGGGCCTCCCCAGAGTGAGGCCACTGGTCGGTGGCAGGACAGGTGCCCTTGCTGAGACTCAAAGTGTGATGACACAGGGAAGAACAAGACCTCGATCATGTTCCACCGGGAGAGGAACTCAATGTGACAGCTCATGCGGCCGTGGCCTGAGTTGGGAAACGGCCAATGGGAGTGACCTGGAGCTGAGCTCGTGGCAACAGGGCTGAGTGGAGTTCTGGTCAAGTCAGATGAAGGTTCTGCTGGCAGAGTGGAGGCCAAAGGTAGAGTGCGCTGGGTCAGAAGAGCCAGGGAAAGTGCTGGAGTCATGGTGAGAGGAGCACCTTCCACAGGCTTCCTGCATTGCTGGCGGACTCTAGCAGATGCTGCCTTGCACGCCTCCCCAGGGGAATCTCGAGATGACAAGCGATGGAAGCATCCCTTACAAGACAGCCTCCCCGGGGAGCTGCGGGAAACAACATACACAAGCTGTAGCCAGGAGCAGAGGGCCCTGGGACAGCAGGGCAGGCCAGCTGCGGGTGGCCCCTTGAGACCCATGGGCCTCCCTGGCCCTCCCTTCACTTCACCGAATTCTCCTGCTGTCCCTCACCCCAGGCCTCTTGCCAGCCCCTGCCCCATGGCTCCCCTCCCAGCTCAGCCCCAAGATGCCTGTAGCCCTGGGGCACATCAGAGACTCTGCGAGGAAGAAGCCCAGAAGAGAAGGGCACGATGCCTTACCTTTGCGAAAGGGGCATCAGGCCCCCCACTTCTGCCGGGTCCTTCTGGCCAGCTCTGTAAGCTAGAGATTAGGGCACTGGGTCAGAGCGATGAAGGCGGGGCCTAGGGCTCTTACAGGAGGCTGCGTGCAGTGTGCCTTTAGGGGAGACCGTTTGAGGTCAGACTCTGGAGCCCAGGCACCAGTGCCCAAGGCCACGGGATCCCTGATGGGGATGGCAAGTCTGCAGGTGGGTTGAGGTTTGTCATTGACCAAGCACTTCCACCTCCACCACAGCCCAGATGCCCCTGCTGGGGAACACCCTGTTCCAGACACCTGCTGGCCTGGGCCTTAGTTCCCAGCACAGAATCTGGCAAGTCCTCAGGTTTTCATCTCCTTCCCGGGAGCCTCGCTGAGGGCTCTGTTTCCTGAGGGACAGGCTCTGTCCCTGGCATCCTTGAGCCCACAGAGCTGGGCGCTCAGGGACAGGAGGTGGAGGCCAGCTCTGGGGCACAGGGCTGAACGGCAGGAGCTTACCTTTCAGAGCTCCCCTTTTCTTCCTGCTCCTGCTGCTCCTCCCTCTCGGCTCCACTTGATGCTGAAATGAGAGAAAAAAACAAGAAACTGTGGGGGCTGAGCCCCAAGGCTCCCTCTCCTCTCTGTGGACCAGCTGCAGACGCACAGCGTTTGTGAGCAAGATGACTGTCCACGCTGAACTCCTGGGGCTCTGCGGCGTTTCTTCCCTTTTACTTCCTTTTGAAGTGGATAATTGAACACAAAATGGACATTTGCTGTCTTCCTTCTTTGAGGATCATAAGAAGGTCCCCACGTGGGACCACCATGCATCTTCTGTCACTGTTCCTCTGCTCAAGAGACGCACACATTCTCAGATGTACAGAATCTTGTGAGCTTCCTCAGGGAGGACTTTGCTTCCTGAGGCTACAGCCCCACTCCAGGTCCTGCCCAGAGGCTCTCGGGGGCTCAGCTCTGCCCTCAGATCAACCACGACAGAGAAAAGGCCCGCCTGAGACCCCTGCCCCGGGAAGGTGGCCGGGGAACCAGTGCTCAGGGCCTGTCTTCCCACAGATCCCACTCAGCATCCCGTCCATGGCCACTGGTCACTGGCCTGGGGACTTTCCCTGGAGCCCTCTACCACACCGGGACTCCTGCTCGGAGATCTTCGGATCGAAATCCTCGTGCCCACTCTCACCCCTGCCCACCCAACCTGGCTTGTCTCTAGAAGGACGGTGTTCTATTCTTTCCCATCCCTGGAGTCCCTCTAGTTGATTCAGAGGAGTGGAAATCACAGTAAAAAAGAAGAGAGACTCATCTTCTGGTTACCTTCTGACTTACCTTCCTGACGTTTCTCCTTTTGTAAGTTAGTTGTGAGGGCAAATTCCTTTTGGGGCAGGGAAAGAACAGGAGGAAGAGCCCCAGTCCATACAGGATGCGGAGGATGGTCCCAATCACCCAGGAAGCGGAACTGGAGCTCAACCAGGTAGCAACAATGCTTTTTAGATCTAAGATAGGAGTTTCCATATCTCAAATACAGTCCTACTCTCAGGCAACTGAGCACTGGGAGTGACTTGGAGATTAGAACCCCACGCCCTCATCATGGAACTGTGGCCATGTCACAGGGGCTCCTGAGGGGGGGAGGCAAGAGGAGGGCAGCCGATTGGACCACAGCCCCTCCGCCACCAACTGGCCTCCAACTGCCTCCCTCCACCCTCCCGGGCCTTCTAGACCTTAGCTAGTTTTCTATTTCTTCCACCTGGAAGCCAGATGTCACCCGCTTCCTTGCGTCTCCTGGATTCTTGGTTTGAACCCACCTATCCCATGGCCTTTGAAAGTCTGAAGTTCTCCCAGGAATTTGATCTAGTTCCCAGGGATTCACACCCTCATTCTCCTCTGTCCTCAACTCTGACTGTTGTTTTCCCCTCACTTATGGACTCTGTGTGGGTGTGAGGACACTGAAGCGCTGCTCTCTTAGCTGATCTCAATTAGACAATTCAGTGTTCTCGACTCTAGGCCCCACATCACACATGAGACCTCAGAGCTTCTTGATCTCGGAGCTGAAAGTTTGTCCCCTTTCACCTGCCTCTCCCTCTCCCTCCCACTCCAAAGCCACTGGCCACCACTTTTCTACTCTCTGTTTCTGTGAATTGACCTTTCTTTTGTTGTTTTTCGAGTTCACGTGTGAGTGACCCCAGGCAGTATCTGTCTTTCTCTGTCTGGCTTGTTTCATTGTTTGTATTCTTTCTGTGATTTCTGTCTCCAGCAGCTTCTGGACATCAGGGTTAGCAACTGAGGGGCTATCAGTTTCTCCCTCCCTATTTGTGGGGCCTCCCCAGAGTGAGGCCACTGGTCGGTGGCAGGACAGGTGCCCTTGCTGGGACTCGAAGTGTGATGACACAGGGAAGAACCAGACCTTGATCATGTTCCACCGGGAGAGGAACTCAAGGCGGCGGCTCATGAGGCCATGGCCTGAGTTGGGAAACGGCCAACGGGAGTGACCTGGAGCTGAGCTCATGGCAACAGGGCCGAGTGGAGTTCTGGTCAAGGCCGATGGAGGTTCTGCTGGCAGAGTGGAGGCCAAAGGTAGAGTGCGCTGGGTCAGAAGAGCCAGGGAAAGTGCTGGAGTCGTGGTGAGAGGAGCACCTTCCACAGGCTTCCTGCATTGCTGGCGGACTCTAGCAGATGCTGTCTTGCACGCCTCCCCAGGGGAGTCTTGAGATGACAAGTGATGGAAGCATCCCTTATAAGACAGCCTCCCCGAGGAGCTGCGGGAAACAAGATGCACAAGCTGTAGCCAGGAGCAGAGGGCCCTGGGACAGCAGGGCAGGCCAGCTGCGGGTGGCCTCTTGAGACCCATGGGCCTCCCTGGCCCTCCCTTCACTTCACCGAATTCTCCTGCTGTCCCTCACCCCATGCCTCTTGCCACCCCCTGTCTCATGGCTCTCCTCCCAGCTCAGCCCCAAGCTGCCTGCAGCCCTGGGGCACATCAGAGACTCTGCGAGGAAGAAGCCCAGGAGAGAAGGGCAAGATGCCTTACCTTTGCGAAAGGGGCATCAGGCCCACCACTTCTGCCAGGTCCTTCCGGCCAGCTCTGTAAGCTAGAAATCAGGAGACTGTGTCACAGCGATGAAGGTGGGGGCCCAGGGTTCTTACAGGAGGCTGCGTGCAATGTGCCTTAGGGGAGACTTTCTGAGGTCAGATTCTGGAGCCCAGGCACCAGTGTCCAAGGCCACGCGATCCCTTTCGGGGATGGCAAGGCTGCTGATGGGTTGAGGTTTGTCATTGACCAAGTGCTTCCACCTCCACCACAGCCCACATGCCCCTGCTGGACGAGAACTTGTTCCAGACGCCTGCTGGCCTGGGCCTTAAGTTCCCAGCACAGAATGTGGCAAGTCCTCAGGTTTTCATCTCCTTCCCGGGAGCCTCCCTGAGGGCTCTGTTTCCTGAGGGACAGGCTCTGTCCCTGGCATCCTCGAGCCCACGGAGCTGGGCGCTCAGGGACAGGAGATGGAGGCCAGCTCTGGGGCACAGGGCTCAATGGCAGGAGCTTACCTTTCAAAGCTCCCCTTTTCTTCCTGCTCCTGCTGCTCCTCCCTCTCGGCTCCACTTGACGCTAAAATGAGAGAAAAAACAAGAAACTCCGGGGCCTGAGACCCAAGGCTCCCTCTCCTCTCTGGACCAGCTGTAGACGCTTTGCATTTATGAGGAAGATGACTGTCTACACTCAGCTCCTGGCGCCCGGGGGTGTTTCTTTCCTTTTACTCATTTTTTAAGTGGAGACTAGAACATGAAATGGATATTTGGTGTCTTCCTTCTTTGAAGAACATGTGGAAAATTTTTCTTTGTGAGACCCACCATAGTAACCAAAACAGCATGGTATTGGCACAAAAACAGACACATCGATCAATGGAGCAGCATCGAGAGCCAAGAAGTAAACCCACACATTTATGGACAGCTAATATTCGACAAGGGGGCCAAGAGCATATGATGGAGAAAAGAGCGTCTCTTCAATAAATGGTGTTGGGGAAACTGGACAGCCACATGCAAAAGAACGAAAGTAGACCATTATCTTACACCATGCACAAAAATCAGCTCAAAATGGATTAAAAGTTTGAATGTAAGACCTGAAACCATGAAACTTCTAGAAGAAAACATAGGCAGTACGCTCTTTGACATCGGTCTTAGCAGCGTATTTTCAAATGCCATATCTGACCGGGCAAGGGAAACAAAAGAAAAAATGAACAAATGGGACTACCTCACACTAAAAAGCTTCTGCACAGCAAAGGAAACCATCAACAAAACGAAAAGATAACCTAACACTTGGGAGAACATATTTGCAGACCATATATCAGATAAGGGGTTAATATCCATAATATACAAAGGACTCATACAGCTCAACAACAAAAAACCAACAACCCAATTAGAACATGGGCAAAGGATCTGAACAGAGATTTCTCCAAACAAGATATATGGATGGCCAGCAAGCATATGAAAAGATGCTCCACATCATTAGCTATCAGGAAGATGCAAATCAAAACTACAATGAGGTATCACCTCACTCCGGTCAGAATGGCTATAATTAACAAGACAGGAAACAACAAATGTTGGAGAGGATGTAGAGAGAAGGGACCCCTCGTACACTGCTGGCGGGAGTGCAAACTGGTGCAGCCACTATGGAAAGCAGTATGGAGTATCCTCAGAAAATTAAGCATAGATCTACCATACTATCCAGCTATCCCACTGCTGGGTATTTATCCAAAGAACTTGAAAATGCAAAGGCATAAAGATACTTGCACCCCTATGTTCATTGCAGCATTATAAGTAGCTTTAAATAGCTAATTTATACGAACCCATTTAAATTTTAAATGTTTTTAGAAAAATTGAATTCAGAATCAAAAATCTTTCCAAAAAAGAAACCTGCAAGCCTAGATGACTTGTCTGGTGAATTTTATCAACTATTTAAGAAATAAATAATATGAATCTTATGTAATCTCTTTTATAAAATAGAAGAGGAGGGTAAAATTTCAACCAAGTTTTATGAGACCAGCTTATCCCTAATACCAAAACCTAAAAAAGACATTTCAAGAAGAGACAGTCATAGACCAATATCATTTATAAATCCTTTAAAATATTTAAAAATTAAATCCAGCAATATATAGAAAAGATAATGCATCATGATCAATCCTTTTATCCAAGGATTTCAAGGTCAATTTACCACGATAATAGAGTAAAAAGGAAGTCTCATATGATCTCCTGAATAGATGCAGAAAAAACCTTTGACAAAATTCAATACTCTTTTATTATATATTATATATTTATATTATTATATATATTTATTATTATTATTTATTTTATATATTTATATTATTTATTATTACTATTTATATGATTATTTATTATATATTAATATTATTAATATATATTATTATAAAAACTCAGCATAACTAGGAATAGAAAGTAATTTCTTCAATGTGATGAAAGTGATATATTAAAAAAAATCTTGATCTATAATCATACTTAATAGTAAAACATTGAACTCTTTCCACCTAAGAGAGAAACAAAGCAGAGACATCTGCTCTCACCACTTTTATTCAACTTCATAGTAGAAACTCTAGCCAGCACAATAAAACAAGAAAAATAAACAAAAGAAATAATGGTTGGAAAGGAAGAAGAAAACTGCTGCTATTTGTAGGAGACACCATTGTCTATATAGAAAATCCTGTGGAAGCCACACAAGAACCTAACAGAACTAAGAAGTGAATTTATTTAAATCGCAGTACTCAAGGTTGATATCTAAAACTCAATTGTATTTCTACATAATAGCAAAAGTGATTGGAAACTGAAATCCAAAAAATCCAAAAACTTCACATGCCTAGGATTGAATCTAACAAAAAAAATGCCCACGACCTCTACACTAAAAACTACAAGGCATTACTGAGAGAAATTCGAAAGAATCTAAATAAATGGAAAGATGTACCATGTTAATGGATCTAAAAGTTCAATTTTGTTAAGATCTCCATTCTCCAAACATTGATCAATAGATTCAACATATCCCAAAACAAAATCCCAGCAGGCTGCTCTGAAGACAAAAGAACAATTGAATATCTACGTATTTTTTAAAAAATCATGGGCCCCTAAAACATCTATAGACAAAAATTAATTCGATGGATCATAGGCCTAAATATAAAGTCTAGAACTATAAAGCCTATAGAAAAAGAAAGCATAGGAGAATATCCTTATCACCTGGAGAAAGGCAAACATTTCTTAGATCTTAAAAGAAAAAAAATTGATAGACCAAGCTGTACCAAATGTGAATGTTTCCATTCATCAAAAGACACTCGTAAGAAAGTGAATAGGCAATTGGCAGACTGGGAAAAGTAATCACAATGCACATATCTGACAAAAGGTTTTTATCCAAAATGTGTAAAGAACTTCTACAAATCTATAATAAAAAGACAAACAACCTAACTAAAAATGGGCTAAAGATGAACAGACACTTCACAAAAGAAGACATAAGAAGGGCTAGTAACATATGAAAAAATGTTTGACATCATTGGACATCAAGGACATAAAAATTGAAACTAGAGGTACCATTTCACATTCACCAGCATGGCTAAAATTAAGAAGACTGACATCACCAAATGTTGACAAGGATGAGGAGTAACAGAAACCATGGGATGTTGCAGGTGGTAATATGAAATTGTACAACCACCCTGGAGAACTGTTTAGCAATTTCTTTGAAAGGTAAACCTACATTTACCCTATGGCTGAGCAAATGCCATCTCTGCACTAAAGGCACCATCGTGAGGGTAATCCTTCACATCCAAATGGAACACAAAGGTTTTACTTACTTGTAGTACTAGTTCAACAGCTTTGGCCATTAAACCTGCAATACAAACAGGGTTAGGAAGCAAAAAGTCAGAATTAACCGTTGAAGATGAAATAACACTTGGCCTAGAGCCTTCCGGGAAATGTTCCCTGATAGTGTCGTCAAACTGAGTGTGGATATTCCCTCAAGGTAGAAATGAAGGACATCACGGAGTTCTTCACTCAGCCCCAGACATCCATGCGACATGTTAAGGAGGAGGAGAATGCTGGAACATAAGTCACAGGCTCAGGTAGCCCAAAATTCAAAATTCCCAAAGTGCTGGTAAGGATGGTCACAAATGGCCTTCCAAGTTTCTCAGCAACCAGGAAAGTGCAGCGATCTATACCATCAACCACAACCAGCTGGAAACTCTCATTCTTTAAGGAGCCCATGGTATCTATTCTTCTTAACAAATGACCACACTGAGTTGCACGTAGCTCCATGATCTTTAAAAGGTTTGCAAATAAGTCTCTGCAAAAAAAAAAGAAAAAAGAAAAAGAAAAAGAAAGAAAGAAAGAAAGAAAGGAAGAAGAAAAGAAGTGAAAGATATTTAATACTCATGGAAGGTGTTCATCTTAAAACACACAACAGAATCTTGGCAGCACAAAAAAACACTTTTAGAAAGCAGGTCTGGCAGCAACCTGCCGTTCTGTTGCTCTCTCCTGAGAACCTTCTCCCCGGATACTGGTCTTTTCATAACTTCTAAATCCACCATGTCATTTCCTTGTTCTTGTCTCTGCTACAGTTCTTCCTGATGCTTAGAATTCTCCTGCTTTCTTCCCTCTTCCTTTCTTCCCCTCATCGAAATCCTACCCATCTTCTGATGTTCTTTTTGCTCTGGGAGACGGTACCAGCTATGGCTGGTGTCTCTGGGCTCTCTGTCCTGGCTGAATGTTGAAGATCATCCATTTGCTCTGTATGCCCTTCAATTATATACTAACTTTGCTCTCTAATGTACCTACATGTAGGACTTGCTTTCCAGGGGTTGTACACATCTTGATGACAGGGTCCCATGAACACCTGTGGAGAAACAGCATTTTCCCTAGGACAAACCATTTTAAAAGCTGTGTGCCAGTGACATCTGCTTGGTCTCTTGCTTTCAACTCCACCCAAGGGATATCTTCACACTTCATTGGCAGCAAATCCTTCAAGAAGGTTACTGTTGCCTGGGGCTCCTGCTTAAGGGACAGTGAATACTTCATAGTACCACCATTCACATGTATTTTAATGCTTCAACTATATTTAAAATTGGTTCAGGAGAAAGAAGAAGATGGAATGAACTAATGTTGGGACAAAAGTTATTAAAACTTCTGTTTCAATAAGAAAATCCTTTCTACAGGGATAATTACTGATAATTATTGGGGGCAAGTGAGAGGAAGTTGTTCTGTCATCTCTGCAGTGTGATGGGCAGGGTAGGCCCCTTCTAAAAGGACAGGAGATTACAAAGGGTAAATAAATGTGACCAAATATGCAGTCAGTTTAGGCTGTAGTAATTTTGATGAAGGTCTTCTGATTAGATCAGGAAAAAAAAAAAAAAAAAAGAAAAAGCAGACAGATAGCTTCGGGCCAGAAAAAAAATAGTCCAAGGAGGCTCTTTGAATTTAATGATTGAATCAGGATAATTTTCCAAGTTATATCTGGAGCAACATCAAAGGTTTCATTAACTGTAAAATGCTACTCAAGAAAGATGTGACTTACACTTTGGTCTAGCATTTCTATAAATCTTGATCTCTAGCTAGTGCAATAAATATTCACCTTGTGCTTACTATGTGTACATACTGTGGTAGGTTCTGTGGATCTAGTAGTGAGCAAGGCAAATGTGACCTTTGCCCTTCTGGAGTTTACAGTTGGACAGGGAAAGCAGATAGTGAGCAAACCCTTACAAGTAATAAATCAATTAATAATAGCTATGTTAAGTATTTCAAAGGAAAGAACTAGGCATTAGGAAAAAAGCAATTGAATCAGTCTAGAAACTAGTATAGTGATTCTATCTTTGTGCTACCCCCATTTTCAAATAAATCTGTGGGGATACTTTTTTTAAATTAAGCTTTTTAAAAGAAAACATTTAAAGGAATACGTGTGATAGTTTTGAGAAATTCAAGACGTGGTATAAAGTTTTGGAATTTAGCATATGAAAATATGAACATTGACTTCATATGGCTGAGAGAAAAGACTTGCAGAAACACAGTGCTGGGCCCAGTGGGACATACTATGAAAGTGTACAGTGTTCCCTGCTCAATCTAGTTAGAGGAGGGCAGAACATGGGGAAGAGTTGGGGTTTTTTGTTTCTTGCTCAGTTCATTCTCTGCTTGTCTCCAGTACCTACATGGCCTGGCACATATTAAGTCCCCCCCAAAATATTTTTAATGCAAAAGATAAAGCCTAAAATTAAGTGCTAAGTCTGTGGTATCGAGAAGTTTAGAGGAAGAAATGAAGTAAATAAAACAGTTTTTACGGAGGAGGCAGTATTGAAGAAATGCCTTGACTGGTGAGTAGCATCTTTTAGCAGAAATGAGGGAGGAGCAAGGACATTCTAATTAACACAGACAGGCATGATTTTCCTCTTTATGACTTCATGCTCAAGATGAGTAGTTTCTTGTTATTTTGAGTTTCAGATGAGTGGCATTTCCAGGAGTTAGCTTCAAGACTTACTCTCTGCAAGGCTGAGAGTGACTCTTAAATGGCCAGGTTCAAGTTCTGCAAAAGTCAATCTTTGTAAGTGACCCCATCATCAAAAAATTTATGAGAAGAGAAAGGAAAAGAAAGAAGTAAAATTGAGTGACTGTGACTTTGTCCAACAAGGAAATGGTGAATTGCCCATCACTGGCCCTGAGCTGGAGAGACTGAAGGCAAAGAGAGAAGGTGGGGAGTCTCGTACAGTGAGATCCCCCCAGTTTCTAAGGGTAATATCTACTCATTCAGGCTCAGAAGCTGATCAGCTGGGAATGTTAACAAGAATACCATATACCAAGACTGTCTGAAGTGATTCATTCAGGGATGATTGAGACATTGCCCATTCACTCATTCATTTATTCATATTTCTCAAATAATAATTACTTTATTTTTCCTTTAAAGAAAAAAACTATTACCTCCCTGGCAAAGCTTCCTTTAAAAAGAAATCAAAATTTTTCTTGAATTCCTGTTTATGGTCTTCAGGAGGAGACCAACTGACAATTTGGTATTTTACCTCCTTTTTTTTTTTTTAAAGATTGGCACCTGAGCTAACATCTGCTGCTAATCTTATTCTTTTTTCTTCTTCTTCTCCCCAAAGCTCCCCGAGTACACAGTTGTATATTCTAGTTGTAGGTCCTTCTGGTTCTGCTATGTGGGACATCGCCTCAGCATGGCCTGATGAGCAGTGCTAGGTCCACGCCCAGGATTCAAACTGGTGAAACCCTGGGCTACCGAAGCGGAGCACGTGAACTTAACCACTTGGCCACAGGGCTGGCTCCTTTTCTTCTGTTTAAAACCCAAGAAGAGACGGAAGAGAAAAATTAATTATGCCACATGTGTAGATCAAAAGGAATGATGCTGATACCTAATTTTAGTCCTTTCCCTTATTTTTCAGAAATTTTTTCTTTGATAACATCTTTATTGAGATATAATTCACATATCATAAATTCACCCTTTAAAAGTGTACAATGTAGTGGTTTTCAGTATATCTGTAGAGCTGTGAAACCATCACCACAATCAATTTTAGAATATTTTCTCACCCTCAAAAGAAACCTCATACCTATTATCAGTCACTCTTATCGTTCTCATACTTTCTTTTAGTTCTTTAGACACAACTTCCTTCAGTTCTTTGAATACATCTCTAATGGCTGATTTAAAGTCTTTGTCTTGTAGATCCATTGTCTGGGCTTCCTCAAAGACAGTTCCTATTGACTGCTTTCTGTTGACCTACTTTCCTGTTTCTTTGCATGTCTCAATTTTTGTTGAAAACTGAACATTCTGAATAGTGTATTGTGGCAACTCCGGAAATCCGATTTCCCCCATCCCCCCAGTGTATTACCGTTGTTCACTGTTGCTGTTGTTGCTGCTGTTTGTTTAGTGACTTTCCTGAACTAATTCTGTAAAATCTATTTTTCTTGTCATGCTCGGCCATGAAAGTCTCTGATCGGTTATCTTAGTGGTCATCTAATAATCATGCAGAGATTTCCTTAAATGCCTTGCAACAATAAATGTCCCAGCCTTTGCCAAGGAGTTGTGTGTGTGTGCCGGGCACACTTTCAATGCTCTGGCAGACAGTTTACAACACCGCCTGAGCCTTCACTTCCCGCTTGTGCAGAGGTTCAAGGTAGGCCCCAAAGTGAGCAGTAAGAGTCTTCTGAGGTCTTTCTTGAGCATGTGCACAGCTCCGCATATGCACATGGCCTTCTAGATTCCCAGGATTATGTCAGAGCTTTTCAAAGCCAAGAGACATAATTAGTTATGTCACAGTATCAGGTTCTATAAACATTTAAGCATTCTGAGTTTACATTATTATGACTGTATAAAAATTGTTAAATTTTGAAGCAAATGGGCCAAATCATATATCATTACTTGGTTTCCACTCCTGCACTTTTTCCCTCCTGGAGTTAATAACTGCCTTCTTTTTTCATTTGTTTAGGCTTGTTTGTTTTGTTTTGTTTCTGTGCCTATTGGTCAGTCCCCCAACTCCCTCCAATATTCTCTCAATATGATTTTCAGGAAGCTCAAATTATTGAACACATTTTTTTCCAGGTCATGTTCCTCCTGGATTCTTCCATTGATCTCATCTGGATTGACTGCTCTCAGGCCAACTGCACAGCTGATATCTTAGGACAGATCTTCAACACTCTTCTGTTTTGCCAACTGCTTTGTCTTCCTCTTTCTTGGTAGCCCATTGTTCTGGTTTAAACCTGTAGTTTTAGTTCTGGTCTAAACCCTATAGTTACTTCTTGAGAAACAGGATATGAAAAGGACAACCTCTGAGACTATTTTACCATCAAATCTTGTTGGTTTGCTGTGTACATTGCTGCAATGCCAATGCTAAAAAGTTTGAGTCCATTCTGAGTCCTAGTCACCATTGAAGTGTATGAAAATTTCTAGGTTGCTTTTTATTAGTCAGTGGTATTCTGAACTTTCACCATGATCGGCTTTGGTGTAGGTCTTTTGTTATTCTCTGTACTGGGTGCTAGGTGGGATCTTTCAATATGGAGACTCATGTAATCTGGTTCTGGAAATTTTTTTTTGTATTAGTTCTTTGATAACTTTCTCCTGCAATTTTACGGTTTTCTTTCTCTGGAATTCTTATCAATCAGAAAAGACATCTTGATCCAATCTTCACAAACTATGGACAAGACTTCAAGCAACATAAATAAAGCGGCATTTTCTCAAATTGATCTGGAAATGTGTGTGAAGGGTTTGCCTGGATGGGCTGAAGACAGAGGTAAGGAGGTGAGAGATGGAGGAAAGCAGAGGAAGATGAGCAGAGCCAAATTGCATTTCAAACTTTCTTCTGCTAGAATTATGGTCTAAGACCGGCTTTTAAGTAAACATACACCAACATGCATAAACACACATATCTTTTTTCATTATAATAATTCAGCAGGACTGAAATAAAGTTTTGGTGAATATTTGTCATATGCAAGGCACTCACAGCTTATCATCTATGGAAGCAGGGTCCAAACACTACTGTCTAACATGGTAGCCATTAGCCACATGTGGCTATTGAGCACCTGAAATGTGGCTGGTGTGAACGGTAAAAATACACACCAGATTTCAAAGACTTGATATAAAGAAATGTGAAATATCTCATTAATAATTTTTTATTTTGTTTACATGTTGAAATGATATTATGGATATATTGGGGTAAATAAAATACATTATTTTATTTATAGACATAAATTAGTTTGACCTGTTTCTTTTTATTTTTTTTAATGTGGCTTCCAGAATATTAACAATTACATTATGAGGCTTGCATTTGTGGCTCATGTTATATTCCTATTGGATAGCTCTAGTCCACATAATAGGAAGATATGATACCTGATGTGGGAGGAAGTCCATTCTTTTCAAGTGAGGTCACCTCATGCCCAGGAGCTTGAAGAATCTGAGATACTCAGTCCATCCGTAGATAATGACTTCCCCCTAGGAACAAGGCTTCATTTTTGCAAGATTCACAGAGAGAAAAGCCAAGGTGGAAGGGTGGGGGAATAGAGAAGCTTCAGGATAAACCTTCCCTGGATGGGGAGCAGAAGGAAAGCTTCATCGCCTCTCCATTTCCTGTTTGGGCAACCCTGCCCTGGAGCCTCAGAGTCCTCATGCCCACTGATTCCTGGCTCTCTGAGCCTTCACCTGTTCCAATCCTCCTCTGCAGTTTCCCTGTCCTGTGACCCAGGGGCTCTTTGTCAATAGGATAAGCTCCAGGAGACTTAGAACTTAAGGCTTTCTCTTCCTAGGAAATAGGCTACACTATAATAAAGGTCATCCCCTTACCGATGCTCTAAAAAATCTAACTGCACATGGTGGTATACATGCGGCTTCTCACAGCAGACAGCAAATCAGGGTTATCATTGGGATCTTTCTCTCTGGAAGTTTTTGCTACGGTGAAAACCAGAAAGTGGCTAGAAACCGCCTCCAGGAGGCAGTCATGAAGAGGAGATGGAACTGCTCCTTAACACTAGAAACGTCCTTTAAGAGTAAATGTTTGGGACAGGAGGTACTTATTTTGGGCCTGAGCTTGGTTCCACCTAGAAGTCAGGTATCTTGAGATACCTGTAGCCCGCCATCAGGATCCCCCCTCCCCCAGAAATCTGCCCGACCTGTTGCATTAAGGAATAAGGAAAGACCTGCTCCTAGGATCGTGGCTCAGGCACACTGCACATTCTTCCCAGCTTGCTCTCAGCGTCAGAGACGCCCTGGAGATTTCCCTAGGTCCGCTGCCTGCCGCCAGGACCGACAGTTTGGAGAAAGGAGCGTTCCTCTCTGCCCAGCTGCCCAGGAGCGGCTCCCGTGCGCGCGCGCCGTGGCCGTTCAGAACACTCGCGAACACTCCTCGAACAAGGACATGGTCAGGATTTTGGCGCCTTCCGGAAGCAGGAGCCCCGGCAGCGGAAAACGAGCCGCAGCGCGGTCCGCCCAGCCATGCTCGCTGGCGCGGCGCGGGGCCGAGCGAAGCCGATGCTGCGCGCCCTGCGACGCGGGCGGGGACTTCGTGCGCCCGCAGTCCCGCACAGCGAACGCCGCAAACTCCAGGCAGGGGAGCTGAGGCGACTGGCTCTGCTGCGACCCGGTCAAAGCAAGGTGACCTGCACTGGCTTCTTTACCCCCGCCCTATCTGGGCCCTTTTGATTCCTGCTCGGCCGATGTCTCCCCTTGGCTCTGCCTAAGAAATCCAGGGTTGGAGAATCTCTAGGAAAATCCCCCGGAGGGGAAGCGGGCAAGTGACAGTCTGAGCAGCGCTGGCCCGAGTACCAACTTAGGATACCCGGAATCTGCCTTCGGTATTCCCCTGCCCCCTTTTGGGCCTGTCTCCTGACTTTTGGGTGCCCTACCGCCCTTTTTACTAATTCCAGTGGTCATATATACCTAATCTCCAAACTTCTCCCCTCTCCGCAGGGAAGAGACCGAGAGGTGGTGAGGTTTAAAAGGCACACAAGGCCTCTTCCCGCCAACCTCCAGCATCCTAGTGAACACTCCCCAGTACCTGCTATATAATACAGTAGCACAGGTCACTGTGGGATGGGGACTGAGTAAATTTACCCATTTATCTACTGATTCCACACAGATTTATCGAGCACCTATTACGGGTCAGGCGTGGTTGGTTCTGCAAACAACACAAAAGCCACTCCTCATGGACATTATATTTGAGTAGAGAGATGAGCATTAACATATAATATGCTAGGCTGTGCTAAGGAGAAAAAATTAATCAGTGATGGCCCCTCTGAGAAATGACTTACTACACAACTAGAAGGACCTGCAACTAAGATATACAACTATGTACCAGGGGGATTTGGGGAGAAAAAGCAGGAAAAAAAAAATAAGGACCTGAAGGAAGAGGGTGAGCTAACAGCAGAGGCTTGGTGTTTCTTAATAAATGAGTATCTGCTGTGGGACAACATTGTGCTTGGCATTTTTGAGTACATTATTTGATTATAATCCTCACAGTCACCCTGAGGAGTATTGTATTATAAGCCCCTCTTCTCCTCCCCCCTTTTGTGTGTGTGAGAGAGAGAGACAGAGAGACAGAGAGATCTTCCACTTTTTGCTTGAGGAAGATTGTTGCTGAGCTAACAGCTGTGCCAACCTTCCTCCACTTTGCATGTGGCCACGGCCTCAACATGGCTTGATAAGCAATGCGCAGGTGGGCACCTGGGACCAAACCCCCGACCAGGGCTGCCAAAGCAGAGCATGGGAACTTAACCACTACACCACCCCTCCCCCTTTTAAAATTTTTTTTAAACAAATGTGACCTGAGGTTCAGGTTTACTGGGGGTCTCTGACTTAAGCAGTGTTTGGGGGTCCCAAACATCATATTAAGAGATGCCACTTTCTTATCAATTCTAATAATTGGTGTATTCTTGGATCTTCCGCATACATAACCATGTCATAATAAATAAAAGCTTTTTTCCTCTTTTCTTGTCTTTAGGCCTTTTATTTCTCTTTTCTTGTCTTACTATTATGGAACATACAGTATTGAATAGAAGTGGTGATAGTAGGCAACCTTGGCTTGTTCTCGATCTCAAAGGAAAAGCTTGTAGCATTAAAATGGTATTTGCAATAGATTTGGGTTCTTGCTATACACACACACACACACACACATAGATACATATCCTTTATCAGATAAAAAAGAATGCTAGTTTTTTAAAAAATAGAACTTTTAAAAAATATAAATGAATGTTGCATTTTATCAAACTGTTTTCTGCATATTTTTGAGATGATCATGTGCTTTTACTCTTTTCAACTATTAATGTGATTTACAGAAATTGACTTTTCAGAAACCTTTTACATTTTGAAATAAAGATACTTTCAGAAAAGTGCATAAAATTTAAATGTATAGATTGGTTAATAAGTATAAACAGGCTTGTAAAAACACACCCAAGTGAAGAAACAAAACATTGCTCTAGTAACCCAAAGCCTCTCTGAGCAGTGATGCCCCTGAGCGTCCCTCCCCCCAGAAGCACCACCTGGCTTAAATAGTCAATCACTTCACATGACTTTCTTTATAGTTTGTCCAACTTTAAATTTAGTTTTTTGGCTGTTTTTATTCTTTCGCTGTTTTGAATTGTTTGTTTGTTTTTTTAATCATTCTGTGTTTCCTCTATTTGAAGCTATATCTGATTTCTATTCTCTTAGTAATTACCAAAGAGATTATAGCATGCTTCCTTAAAAGTCTAGCTTAAGCACTATCTTTACTCCTCCTGGATATTACCATGACCTAAGAACACTATAATGCAGTTTCCTCCACTCCCAACTTATATAGTGAGTTATGTAATTTAATTCTCTTCATATATTTTAACTTTATTATGAAATAAAATGTACATATAGCAAAGCACACACAAAAGCATGTACTACTCAGCAGTTTATTACAAAACTGTAAAACCACCACCCAAGTCAAGAAAGAGAACACAGGCAGCAATCTAGAAGCTTCTCTTGTGCTCCATCCCAATCATTAATCTCTTTCTCCTCAGACGTAAGCAGTAGCCTGACATGTATGGTAATCTCTTCCTTGATTTTTTTGGATGGTTTTAATACTTTCATCTTTCAGCTCTACAATTTAGTTTTGCCTGTTTTTGAACTTTACACAGGTAGAATCATACTATTTTTTCATATCTTGCTTTTGATCCACATTATGTAAGTTTCATCCATGTTGTTGCATAGCTGTAATGAATTCATTTTTATTTACTTATTCACGTATATATCCATCATGTTGGATAAATTCATTCTGTCAATTGAATTGTTTATGGTTGAGGCTATGATGAACATTCTTGTACATGTCTCTTGGTGCATATATACACACATTTTTGTGTGATAAATGTACTCACTGCCAAGCCCAAGGTCACCTGTTTTATCCTATGTTATCTTCTAGAAGTTTTATAGTTTTGTGTTATAATGTTTGGTTTATGATCCATTTTGAGTTAATTTTTGTGAAAGGTGTAAAGTCAATGTCTAGACTCACCTTTTTCTATGTGGTTGTCCAGTTATTCCACTACCATTTTTCAAAAAGACTATCCTTTCTTCATTGAATTGACTTTGTTCCTTTGTCAAAGATCAATTGACTACATTTATGTGGGTCTATTTCTGGGCTCTCTATTCTGTTCCTTTGATCTATTTGTCTATTCTTTCACCTATTTCACCTATTTGTCTATTCAATTCTGCAATGTCTTTACTACTGTAGCTTTATAGTATGTCTTAAAGTTGGGTAGTGTCAGCCCTCCAACTTTTTTTCTTTTTCTCTTTCTATATTGTATTGACTCTTCTGGATCTTTTGCCTCTCCATATAAACTTTAGAATCAATTTGTTATATCCACAAAGTATCTTATTGGGGTTTTGATTGAGATTGCATTGAATGTATAGATCAAGTTGGGAAGAACTAACACCTTGACAATATTGAATCTTCCTATCCTTGAATGTGGAATCTCTCTCCATTTATTTCTTTGATTTCTTTCATCAGTTTTGTAGTTTTCCTCATGTAGATCTTATGCATATTTTCTTAGATTCATATGTAAGTATTTCATTTTTGGGGGTGCTAAGGTAAATGGTATTGTGTTTTTAACTTCAAATTCCACTTGTCTATTGCTGGTATATGGGAAAATGATTGACTTTTGTATATTAACCTTGTATCCTGCAACCTTGCCATAAACACTTATTAGTTCTAGGTTTTTTGGTCAACTCTTTTGGATTTTCTACAAGACAGTTTTATTTCTTCCTTCTAAATCTGTATTTATTTCCTTTTCTTGTCTTATTGCCTTAGGATTAATGGAAATGGTTTTTTAATTTCAAATTCCAATTGTTCTTTTTGGTATATAGAAAAGTAACTCTGTTTTCTTGGCTAGGCTGGCTAGGGTTTCATCAATTTTACTGATCTTTTCAAACACCTGGCTTTTGGTTTCATTGATTTTTTTTTCCTGTTTTCAATTTTATTGATTTCTGCTCAATTTTTATAACAATTTCTTATTTTAATTATAAACACAGGATAAAGTAATGTGGAACCTAAAGTACATGTATGTAATTATCTTAAAACATTTCTTCTGTAGCATCTGTTAATAAATTTGTAAGGAACAAAGAATGTCGGTTTAATCTCAAAGATGGTATTATGAAATACATAAATGATCAGCAAAATTCTTAATAACTTATATAAATGTACTTTATTTCATGCAAAGCTACATAATTTCCTATATTTTAACAGCTAATCAAGTAAACATTCCAAAAATTCATTACATCACAATAAGTTAAAAATACTACAAAGCAATTGCAAATCCATGAGTTTGTCAAAACCAAACTGAGAGAACATTATGCATAGATAAGGCCAAAGATGCTAACTTACTTATAGGTAGCACTTTGCAGCTTTTTCCAAATATATATTTGAAAATGTAGTGAGAATCTGCAGAGAAAAATAGTAAATCTACAACCCATTGGTCAGATAGGAAAACATTTGTCATTACATATCAGGTCATAATGGACGATTAAAGATAAATTTGGCATCATGCACCAAAAATGAACATTTTGAAAAATTATGATCAGATGTACATTTGAAAAGACTGATCTTCTATTTCACGTAATCCACTGAATTAGATAAATAACAAGTACTTTATTAATGCAACACAGAAATTAGGCTTTTGGTATACTTTGCTTGGGTACTGGTATATATAAAAAGATACTGAAGAGATGTAGGAGTATTTCAAATTCACACTGGACTACTGAACTTTAGAATATTGCCCTAAGGAAATATGTTCTGGGCAGAACTTATTTGAGAAAGATTTTTAAATCACCTAAAAGCAATACTACAATTAGTTACTTACAAAAACATTTTATAAAAATTAAATACCAGAAGTAACATCATCATTAGAGCTCTTTTTTCAATGCTATAATTTATAAATATATATTAGATTACAGGAATTTAAAAGACAGGTCCACAAGTTCTCTACCTTCTAAAATGAGAAAAATCCTTCACGTTGTTTTCAAAATATGGACAAAAACAAATCCATTGGATTACTTAAAAAAAAAATAAATACACAGTCTCTCCCCTACAACTAGATGTACTAAGTAGGGAAGATGTCAGCCAGCATTCTTTCGAGATGTACATCTCTAAGTGCCTAGGTTGACAAGATTTAGGTCAATAATATCAACTCAAAACAGTGTTGTACAGTCAGATTAATAAATTATGACTTTACCCTACATATGTCTGCCATAGTAAGCTACTCCTTTGCACTAAGTACAGTAAAAATCTCCTTTTACAAAATGACTTGAAATCAAGATAACCACAAAAGAAAAGAATTTCAGAGGGAAAAAGTTATTCTCCCCAGGGAGAGTGTTAAAAACAAATGTCTTTTAGGATATCAATAAGAAGAGGAACATGCCAATATTCTTGCTTTATTAATAAATTAAAAATTATAGCAAGGCTTCAACCAACTTCAATGGACATATCTTTTGAAAATGGAAATAAAATTTTAGGAAAACCAGGGTCAACATGAAAGGAATTAGAAGTGAGGGCATGTTCCCACTGCAGTGGGGTTGGGAATGGGGCAGGGCTAATGCCTGCTTTGCTGGGGGAGATGGTGCACAGGGCCTAGTCTCTAGGAGTTGGGACAGGGGATGATACTATCTGGTCTTCCAGGTCACTGAGCAGGAAAAAGTCACTGCGTTAGAAAGAAGTACCTTACACAGAGGGAATTCATATTTTAGAAGGCCTCCTGTAACCCTCTTATATTGTTCCCACCTCTCCTAATGAAAACTTTGACAATGATGCATATTATTTATGAATTCCTTTTCATAAAAAGAGGTCTCAAGGTTCTTAATGTTTTGTTTGCTTTTTTTTAGCAATCACTGTTTTGGGAAATTTTTATGCCAAAACACTATACTGACAAAAACTTATTTTACTGAAGTGCCCTCCAATACATTGAGCCAGCATACATCACATTTACATTTAGATGTTGCTTAGCTGTCTAGCAAAATCTCTTTTACTACTTTAGGTGCAATGCTGCTATTCAAGTAGTGGGATTTGTAGGCAGAACTAGATCCTGTTGAGTGTACTGATCATCAAAAACAACTGTGTACACAAAACAAGGAAAATCTGTCAGCTCATTAAAAGTCATATTATAAAGAGACATCTCAGAAAGGAAGGAAGGTTAAAACGAATGAGAAAAGGAGGAAGAAAGGAAAGATAAAACTCTAAATCCATTTGCATCTTAACATTTAGAATTTAATACAATACAATCCATTACACTTTGGAGGTTCAAGTATGTTAAGATTTTTCAGGGACATTTTTTGCCTCCTAGTGCAAATACAGTCGTCCCTTGGTATCCGCAGGGGACTGGTTCCAGGACATCCCGTGGATACCAAAATCTGTGGATGCTCAAGTACCTACAGTCAGCCCTCTGCTCCACGGGGTTTTACCCCGCGGTTGGTTGAATCTGAGGATGTGGAGCCCGTAGGTACAGAAGGCCAATCGCATCCTTATCCTTGTGATTTTCAGGCACGGTCCACTCAAATCACAAGTACAAAACTCACATCACTGAACAGTGTGAATTATAATTATGGAGAGTTTATTTTTCCTTTAAAATGGTAATCAGCACACCATAAAGAACATTTCCTAAATCTATTAAAGGTGTGAAAAATGAGGTTTGTCATTATACATAAATGAAATTCCTTCATTAATATGTTGAAATATACTTAAAACACATTGACTTTCCTATCCATATTTAATTTCATTTGGGTACATAATCAGCGTAAATTTAAGAACTGATCATCAAATCAAATAGTAGAGTCCAAAAACAAATCAATTGGCAGCACTTCTTTTTGAAGGTTTGGATTGTCATTCTCTGATCTATTCTTTATAGATGGAAAACTCTTGAATGTTTTGATTTAGCTCTTACCACTCTTGTGAAATGAGGGCCACTTGTGTAATGAAATTATTCCAAAGCCCTTGTATTCACTTGGTAAGAGAGCAAATTCTAATAAGGCTTATACTTTATTTCTTATTTTAATAATTATTTTTATAGAAATGCTCTATTGATAGTAACAAATTATTGATGTAATAACAAAGGTTAATTAGCAACTTATAGGTGATTCATGAAATTAATAGATTATTATTACTTCTTGTAATGGTTATTGTGAATTACTGGCTTACTGAATATCTTAATTATTTTAAAAACTAATTTAGAAAATTTAATCATATATTTATTATTATGTAAGAAAGACATCAAAAGGTAACTGCTAGAACTAATTCTTCAAGAAATGTACTTTGCACGTGAAGTGTATGAATTCAGTAGTACTGTTTTGCAGTAGGTGTCATTACATTTTAACAAACTTCTCAAAACAGAAACCTTTTGTTCTTACTACAGTTTTCTACACAAAGTGGCTTAACAAATATTAACTTAGTTCCCAGTAATAACCTTAGTCTTCAGGGATTAAATTATTACCTTCTGAACTCAAATTTACCTAGCCAGGTGACCTTCCTATATGATCGTGTATAAAATCCTGTAAGATAAATTCTGCTTAAAAAGCTGAATACTCCAGATCACTTAAACAACCAAAAATTATTTTGGAAATAACTCAAAAGTCATAAAGGGATCTATATTGTTTGTGAACTATTAGATATACTTCAATTATAATCATAAAAATTTTAATAATAAAGGAAAGTAGTATATTCCTTACACATTCCTATCAATTTATCTTAGGATATTACAAGCCATAAAAGTAATTAGATAATTTCTTCTCTTTTTCTGCTTCTACTTCTACAAGAGAATCTGAGTTTCATGACAAAACTGATGAGAAACAACATTATACTTTAGGAAAATATTCCAAAGTAAACCCAAAGACTAAACAATAAAACAATACTATTTGTACAGGACTTTTGATAAATTACTGCAAAAAGAGTTTTTGCACTGGGGACTTGTAAGCTTCTCTGTAATAATAAGAAACCTGACCCCTTTCTGGGGTGATCGTTTCCCCATCCAACACCTTCAGCTATCGCTAGGCAAACAGCGTAGCTAACAACTTCTTTTGTCTTTTTAAAGTCCAGTATATAAACATCAACTCAAAATCCTCACAACAGCTTTGTGAGGTAGATCAGTAGGTAAATAGCAAGTATCATCTTCATTTCACAAACAAAGAAACTGAGGCACTGAAAGGTTACATGATTTGCTCAAGGTATTTGATGGTCAATCATGAAATTACAAACTGTATTAAATTACCTCTACTCCTGGCCTTTTGCTCTCTAACCACACTTCACAATAAAAGGCTATAAAAGGCTGTGGCTGTGTGTGTGTATGTGTACATGTCTGTGTGTGTGTGTGTGTGTGTCCTCAAATGGCCAGTCTACATGACCTTCAATTGAAAGTAAAATTTATCCTTTGATAATTATTTTAAAGGAGATCTAATCTCAAAGATCATAAAAAGTGAAGAAAATTAGATAATTAGGATGATACACTATTCCTTTTAGTATCTGCAGAGAACTGTGTCTTTAAAAATTTTACATGACAACACTAAGTAAAGAGAAAAATGAAAAATTTAAAATTATGATTCAGGGAAACATTACCTTCAAGAAACATATAATTATATTATTAGGGTGATGATATAATTCATCTTCAACTGGGATATTTAAGAATGAAAGTGAGCATTATTAAAAATTACACAGGATAACAGATGTTAAAGTGAGACTGTCATGGGCAAGCTTAAGTATAGTCACTATTGGGTGAACCCACAGCATAGATTCTCTAAGAGTTGCAAACATTTCAGGGACACAAAAAACTCTCTGCAAGCATGCTGTGCTCAAATATATTCACTGTGCAATAAAATACTGATGACTTAAAATATAATACCTAACTTTGGCTTAAACACAAAGGTTAAAAAAATCAATTTAAAGTAATTAGCATGTCTAACCAACAAGTTATTATACATTTCCATTCTAATATAGTGTTCTGTTTTCTATAAACCACAATTTAAGTGTTAGTAATACAGTAAATGGATTTACTTTTTACCTTTGAATAACCAGATGTTCTTTTTCAAAAGGCATAAATAGGCACCTTTAAAAATTAGAGAATTTTGTGGGACTCTGACTACTAAAAAAAAACCCCACTGTTTACCACTAATGCTTAGGATTCTCCTTGAATAGAATGATCAACACTTAAATCAATATGACAAATAATAAAGGTGAACATTTCTCTCTGAAATGAAAATCTTTTACAAAGCAATACCGAAAGCATAAAACAACTTCCAGTTACTACCCAAGACTGAAAGAATAACACATCACCCAATTTTAATACACATGCTAAAGACACTAACAGTCAGTTGAAGTAGAATCTTAATTATACATGCAAAAACCTCACTAATTTGCATACAGAGTTGAAAAAGAGCTTTCTTACATTCAGTTACATCTGGTAAGTAAGCCTCGTTTTAAGACATAGGTTTTGTAAATAGGGTTATTATTTGAGGTCTCCATTTCTTTGGGAAATACAGGATTAACATATTCTTTAGAAACAACAAAAATGTGAATCACAATAACAAAACTGTATAATATTATTTAGGTATGACTTATGGCTTCCTTGGACCTTTAAAACAACTTTCCTGAAAAAAATTAATCTGAAACAAACTGAATTATATGTTCTCAACATATAATTCGGATCTTTATCATGAATTAAATCCTTCCACTCTAAGGCAGACACTTCAGGAATGGTATGTAATAAATCCTATTAGAAAAGGTGATACCTTATTTAACGAACAATAAACTATTACTAAGACGTGATTAATTTTCAGTGCCTTTTTCATCCTGACACTTTTCACTGAGAGCAAAGTGTAAACACTAGGACATAGAGATGTTCATAAAGACTGAACTGATGTGTTGATCTCGGTTATTCTATAAATTCTTTCAGACATTAAACATCATCAAATATTCTGCAGTGAGACATCGAGAGGTATCGTCCACCAGGCTGGTACCTGAAAAGTAGATAAAGAAATGATACACAGGATGGAACTTAAGAGATCCACTCTTGGTTGTTGAATATAAATAAAATATTCTAGCTTTTTTTCTATTCACAGGCAATAGTACAGCAAATATCTTCATGCATATGATACTTTTCTTTTGTTTAATCATTTCCACATAGAACAGTGGCTAAAAGCACAGATTCTGCAGCCAGAGTCCTAGGGTTTGAATGCCTGACTTCTTGTTTACAAGTTGTGTGATTCTAGATAAGTTACTGAGCTTCTGTGGACTCAAATCCCATTGGATTTACAACCATAAAATACAATATCATTGTTAAAGTGCTTAGAATAGTGTCTGACACCCAGTCATAGCCATGTAGCTGTTGCCAAATATGATAAATGTCATATATGGGATTGTCAGGAATAGGCATATAAAGATTATTAAGATTCTTATTACTGATTTCAATTCTTCTTTCTTATTTATAATATCACTAATCGTTTATAAAGATATCAATTTCAATTACCACCACTGGCTGCTACAATTTGTAAAATATAAAAGCATTAGAAGATACAAAAAGGTATCAAAGGTTGATTAATATGTTTTTTACTAGCAAAGACAACATTTTCCTTATGTTTACTTATGTAGTCATGTCAGTATGTTATTAAAATTTCAGAGGAATGCTAGAGCCACAATGACACAGCTGGCATTTACCTTCCTGATTCAGATTCAAGAGGATCATCGGTGAATGTTGCTGCATTAAAATCCAAAGGTTCTGCATCTTGGAGGAGTTCTATTCGGTCCCTTTCAGTCCTATTATTAGCCCTGGTATATTTGGTTGCTGCTGCAAAAGAAGAAAAAGAATTATGGCTACTTTTCTATTGTCTTTATGGGTCACAGTCTATGGACTCACAGAAAGAAAAATCGAGATTATTCAGGATTTGAATTTTGATTGTGAAGAAAATATTAAGATAACTACCCGGTTGCTTAAAAATTAGATTAAAATGATAAATGGTATGATTGAAAATAACAAGTGAAAGTTCTCCCTTGTTGCTAGTCTAAGCTGAGAAGCAGCTATAGAGCAAAGATTTAAATAATATGAATCAGAATTAATATTTAACTATGGTATCATAACAGTGAAACTGTTCATTATCAAATCAAGTTTCAGATGGTTCCACAGTGAATCTAGGGGCTGCTACATCTCATTTCTTGGCTAAGATTTTCTTTAAGGTGTAATCAACTCAAGCTCCTCAAGAAAAATGTGAATCTTTTTCCCATAAGGCAAGAGTTTAAGGCAGCAATGTCTAACAGAAATAAAATATAAGCCTCATTAAAAAAAAAAAAGCTACATTAAAAAGTAAAAAGAAATAGGTGAAATTAATTTTAACATATTTAATATAACCCAATATATCCAAAATATTATCATTTCAACACGAGGCACCAGCCACACTGCAAATGCTCAACAGCCACAAGCAGCTAATGGCTACCATCCTGGTCAGTACAGATCTAGAGGACTAACTCGCCCTTTTCTACATGGACAGGGTTTTCTTCATCAACAACATAAATTTTCATAATGTTGTTCTGAGCAGTCCAATAGTTTCAAAAGAACTTTATGATATAGCTCTTCTTGAAAACTTAACATCTCACATTTTTGCCTTCTTGGACTCTGCCGTTCATCTTTTCTCTCATTCATTCAGCAAATATTGGTTGCCTACCATACGCTAGGTTCTCTCTAACTCATCTTCCTAAGGTTTTGTGTTTCCTCTTCTCTTAACCATTCTTCCATTCTCCAGATCTTTCCACTCTGTTAACTCTTATTCCACGGTAAGCAAGCTTCCAAATCTCTCTGTAGAATACTTCCTCTATTTCACAGCTTTAACTAAAACTTTAGCTCTCTGCTATTTCTTCTACCCTAAATTTCTTTCAAACACATGCTTTCCTCTTCCTTTCCAGGATCATTGCTTATTTGAGGCGTCATCATTCTTGACTGCATTACCAATATAGACATTAAAGTGGTTTCTGAGTCTCATTTCCCTAGAAATCATACTTTATGTTGTCATCAAATTTATCTTTCTAAACAAAAAGCTGAGCATGCTGCTTTCCAGATTGGAATCTTCGGGATAAAATCTAAACTTCCGAGCACAATAATATCTGTTTCCCAACTACCTCTGTAGTCTCCCCTCTTATTAGCCTCCTTATACAGAGAAAAACTCGCATTTCCCTAAAGGTTCTCTCACATCACTCATTCTTCCTTCTGCCGAAAACACCTGCACTTGGCTAAGTACTATTCATTCCTAAATACTCAAGTATTTCTTTATCACAGAAATCCTTTGGCAATAAAGAACTCTTTTTTCCATCCGCTGAGCTGAGTTCCCTCAGGTCACGTGTGCACCCTTCTACTCTCTTAGCATTCCTACAAAGACAAACAACCTCTACATTCTACTCAGTGCAGGGTCCTGGGAAAAAATAGGTTTCTTGCCACCTCCTCAGGGACATATGGCAGGGCCAAGGATGTGGGGAGGTTTCCTAACCCAACACACTGGCAAATGTCTTCTGCCTGGTATCAGGCCCTCACTAAATTATGAGCATCCCAAGGACAGAAAATTTATCTTCTCTGTATCCCTGGGATATACTTGATAGATATGGGACAGATAGCCTACATCTACTTCTAGAAAAGTGAAAAAAAAAACCCAAAAACCCCTAGGTAAATAGAAAGAGGCACCTGCCTAGAACATGCCTGGGATAAGGACTGATATTGTTTAGGGTAGTAGAATTCATCTATTCATTTGTTGTCCCAGTTTCTCCTTCTCCTACCAGAATGCATATTTGAGTTTCCTCTTCCTTCTATACACTGGGAGATGAGATAGGAAAGTCACTGCAGAGCCACGTTTATAGTCTATAAAGGCATTTCTGGATGGGTAGCCTAATTCCCAGTCTCTATTTAAGCAAGCCCAAGAAGAAAATTTCTAAGAGAACTAGTAGATAAACTACTTACAGCGGTTGGCACTAATATCTGAGAAGTTTGACTCTTTTGGATCAATATGAACATTTCTGTTTCTAGTAGAATCTTCTCTATTGTGTCCATAGCGTTCTTTCCATTCCTAGGAAAGAAATATAAAAGAATATATAACAAAAGAACTCACAGACAGAAATTCATCATTGTCAATAGATTATAATTTAATTCTTTTTCATCATAAATTGATCAGATAGCATAATTAGCATAGTGCCTTCAAAAATCGTCAGTAATTTTTCTTATCTCTACATGATTTTAATACAGTCTCTAAACTTAACTTGTACAAATGAACACATTTATAGACATTTTTGCTAGCCATGATTATTTTAAGTTATCCAGTTCTTCTATTTAAAATGTCAAAACAATATTACAACTACAATAAGCTTAACTTGACCACATAAAAGTTACAAGAACTCATACTAATTAATGAAATTTTAACAAAATTTTCTTCCACCCAAATAAACTACAGATATCATAGACCTGAAAAGTCATTTTCAATAGCAAAATTAAAGCTGTATACCAACCTAATTAGATAATGTCTCAGATGAAATTGTGTATAGTCTTAAGTGCAGTAAAACCACATTAACTGGGACTCTACTCATTAAATACTTAGAATTGAAAGGAACATTAGAAGTCACCTAATTCAACCTCCCATGCAGTACAGGGTTTCATTCTAAAATAGTCAGAGGCCTTTTGGTTCTCTTACTAGATGAAATGGAAATTTCTAGATGTGAGCAGCCCACTGCAGTTTTGCTAAGCTGTGGAAGTTAGAAATTTTCATAGAGAAGTGAAATCTATCTGCAGTAACCTCCACTCTTTGGTCCTAGTCATGCCTTCTGAAATAAAGAACAAGTCTCCCTTTACAAGACACACACTAAAATATATGAAGACAGCTATCATGTCTCTTCTAAGTCTTCATGGTTCCAGTACAGACACACCCAGGTATTGAAAACCTGTGGTAATTTTGACTAGATTTTTCTAACTTTTTGCCTTATTACTCTCTAGGAGGAGGTTAGTTTGCCTCAGCAAATAGAAGACTGAAGAAAAATTGAAGAACAATACAATTAATGTCATGTTACAAAAAAAGCAAAACAATTTTAAAGCAATCAAAACTATTTTAAAAGCAAGATTGCATGAATTTATTCACTCAACAAATATTTACTGAGCACCTACCTTAGGCAAGAAACTGCTAGATTTTGGATACAAAGTAATTTATCACTAATGGCTTTTTAGAACAGGACACCTAGCACGTACGTCTAAAAGCAGTAAAACTATCCTCCTTTAAAAATATGTCCTATGTCATTTTCCCAATGTTCTTTGATCTTTAGCCAATTATTCTAAATCAGTAAGATTCTTATGATATTTCACATTAAGGTTTAGGTTACAGCAATTTAACAAATACTATACTTACTCTTCTTCGATTTTCACCTTCTTCTTGCCTTTGCCTTTTTCTCTTCTCTAGAGACAGAAAAGTGGTGTCAAATTTGGTATAACATGGTTTAATTAGATGCAGAGTAACTGAAGTAAAGGTATCAGGCTATGTGACCAATTTCCTTTAAATTACTACAAAGTCAAAGGTAATAGGTTATTGTTGGAAAGGACCTTAGAGGTCTCCTAACTCCACAAAGAACACCTTCTTTACTTTTCTTGGAGACGGCCTTCAGGCTCTGTCTAATAGTTTTAGTGAGGAAAAAGTTCCTCATGATAACTTGAAATTTGTTTCTTTGTAACTTCTCTATTCCTTATGTCTAATTTTCTAAATTAAGTCCATACTTCTCTTCCTTCTGCATAAAAGTCTTCTCCCTTATTTTCTTCAGGCTATATGCTCAGTGGTTTTTCCCATAAGATATGCTCTACAGACTCATAATTCTGACTGTCCTTCTCTAAATGCCTCCTGTCAGTCTTACTCTGGCCAATCCTGCCCAGCACTGGATATGGCGGTCTAGAGAAGGTCTGATGCGAAAAGGGGCAGACCTGTCCCACCAGCTAGACACCCCCTCCCGCGAGCACGAGAAGGCCACACAGGACGTTCTGGCTTACATTTACGACCACACAAAAGGCCCAGAGCCAGGGAGGGAGACTAGCTAAGAACCAAGGTCCCAAAACTCAACTTTCGTTTTTCTTTTTCCCCTATCCTACCATCACTTGAACATCAGGAAATTAGATACATTCAGTTTTGAGATTAGATTCTAGCAGAGTGCCATGTATCCTAACAGGTTGTTAATGATTATCACATTCTAAAAACCAGCCTTGGCTTGAATGATTTCCTATGCAGTACTGAACTGACGGTTCTTTAAATGAAAGTGTTTTATAGTTGTACTGAACTTGGCAAATCTATTTCAAGGCAAACATGACTCCAACACACACAAGGGCATTAATTAGTTACAGACACACTAATAATTACTGCTGCAGAATTTCTTAAAGACAGATGAAACAATCGCTTGTTTCCAAATTATTTTTTCTATGAAGGGTGTATGTAGATTTTTAGCTAAAAAACATTAATTTATAATTTAAGATAAATTAAAAATTACAAACGATATAAACATTAATTTTGTATTTTGAGTCTTAGTACTTTTCTTTCATTTATTTTAAAAGACAAATCTTACCTCGTCTAATTAATTCCTTTCCTTCATCAACTAAGTCTGATGTCATATCATTATCTCCCATGAACTGCTGGAAGCCAAGTAGATTCAAACAACGAGTTCCCAAACTAATAAAGTAGATTTTCAAAAAGACAAGTGTTAACCATCAGGGAAATACAAATCAAAACTACACTAAGATACCATCTTATACCTGTTAAAATGGCTACAATCACTAAGACGAAAATAACAAATGATGGAGAGGGTGTGGAGAGAAGGGAACTCTCATACACTGCCGGTGGGAATGCAAACTGGTGCAGCCGCTATGCAAAACAGTGTAGAGATTCCTGAAAAAACTGAAAATAGAACTACCATATGACCCAGCTATCCCAGTACTGGGTATCTACCCAAACAACTTGAAATCAGCCATCCAAAGTAACATATGCACCCCTATGTTCATTGCAGCACTATTCACAATAGCCAAGACATGGAAACAATCCATGTGCCTCCTGACCAATGATTGGATAAAGAAGATGTGGTGTATATATATAATGGAATCCACTCAGCCATAAAAAGACGAAGTCATCCCATTTGCAACAACATGGATGGACCTGGAGGATACTATGCTAGGCAAAATAAGCCAGATGAGAAAGACAAACACCAGATGATTTCACTCATATGTGGAATATGAACAAATACATGGACAAAGAAAACCGTTCAGTGGTTACCAGGGGAAAGGGGTGGGGGATGGGCACAGGGGGTGAAGGGGAGCACTTATGTGGTGACAGACAAGACATAATGTACAACTGAAATTTCACAATGATGTAAATTATTATGAAAATTTAAAAAAAAAAAAAAGACCGGTGTTATTTTACATTGTAAATGTTTAGATAAATTGTTCTTCAGTATTGTCAACCCCTTCCCTGCCGCCCCGCAAAAGCCTATGTTTTATTATTAGTTATCATGGCAAGTTACATAGTTACATTTGCCTTTCTTTAAAAAGTACTTATTTCTCTTTCTAAGAAGTTTATACACCCAGTACTCCACAGGCTAGGGTATGCACCATACCCAGATTTCTTATGGAGACAAGTTAAGTCAGGCTATTAGCATAGCTTCAGAAAATTATTACACCAGGATGCTAAACAATGGCTGCAATACAAAAGCAATTTATCCTTTTCTTATTTTCAAACAGTAATTTTAATACTGAAAATGCGCATATACAACCAGTATTTCCAAGCATAGAATATTGATTTAGAAATTCTTAATTATGCAAATTGACTTTCATGTTCAATTTTTTTTATCCTGAGAGCTAGTCAATTCTATTTAAATATCTTTTATTATAAACTCAGAATTGATTATTATATCTTATCTGGGGGGCTATCATTTTATCTTGTTTGGTATGTACTCTAAACCTGATTGTTGTGCAGGACAAGAGTACTCTGAAAATATGGCCCACAAGGAAAGAAGAAATGGATGGACAGGCAGGATTAATATTTGTTAAGATCCTACTATGCATCAGACGATTTACAGACACCCTTTTAATTAATTCTTACTTTAACTCTAAGAGATAAATATTCTACAGACGCCCGAGGGGTTAAATACTTTGCTACAGATCATTTAATACATTTTAGAGCTGGGATTTAAATCCAAGACAAAACAAAGACCAACGTCTTTTTATTACCTTAGTTCTCAAACTTTTGCACTGATGTACTTCTGTTCTAATGGCAGAAGTCTGAACACACTGATGCGGTGAAGGGGAGAGAGGAAGAAGGAGAAAAGGGGAAGGAGTGTGTGTGTGTGGCGGAAGAAGGGCAAACAGCAGAGTGGTTAAATGATAGTGAGGATTTTCCATTTTACATTAGCAATGTGTAAAAATCTGGCTATTTCATAATATATCTGCCTGTTTTAATATATAAGGAATGTTTTATATGACTTACCATTGAGTAAAATTGGGGTGTCATGTAGATGGTTATGCTAATTCTGTGACTTTAAATATTCCCTTACCAACTTCATCCCCTTGTGGGAATACTATATGCCAGGATGAGAAGCCCCAAACTACATCACTGCCTCTGGGAAGGTCTTAGCTTTGTAAGTGTCAGGAACCAGCCATAGGCTCTCTAGGCAGTTAATTCTGAATATCACCTCTGGGTACGGCTGTGTTGCCAGTAATATGGGAATTAGTTAGACTAATTATGGCAGCATTTCAAAAGAAAACGGACCTATAAAGCAAGTTATCATTGAAATGTCAGTAAAGCATTGCCTCATATATTTTTATAATAATATATCTATTTTGAGAGAGAATTTGAAAATTCAAGAATATGACTTTTTTTCCTTAAATTGCTACTCAAAGTATACCCTAATTAACTCTAAAATACGTTTAATGAATTATTTTTAAGTTTAACAACTTTCCTTTTAGACATAATAATTTCTTATATTTGTTCAAGATTTTATAGTTGACAAAGCACTATGCCACCCGTCTATTACTTGATCCATATAACAATCAAATAAGGTAAGAAGATATGCTAATCTTGCCTACATAACTACTAACATGAGAAGATATAATTCATACATCACAAGCTCTTAATGTTCCATTAATAGTTTTATAAACTTTTAAAATGAATAAGCATATAATCAAAACCTAGTTTTGGACATTCAAAGCATGATTGGACTCTTCCTTTAATACATCATTTTCACAGTATAAACCTACTGTCTTTTCTACTTTACATAAAAAACTTGAAATGTCAGGTTTACCCTCAGTTCATATTAACACTTTAAATTATAATCCTTTATTTTATTTATGAGAAGGTAAAATATAAATGTTTTAAAAAATTCAACAGAGAATTTATTTCAAAAACTACTTGTCTCTTTACTCAACATACTAACATTTTCGTTGTTAGTGCCATCAAGTGAACTCCAACTCCTAATGACCCCATGTACAGCACAGAAGAACTGGGCCTGTGCATCATCCTTTCATCTTTCAGCGCTAGATCAAACAATGCTCTGCTGCTGTTCATAGGGTTTTCATGGCTAATTTTTCCAAAAGTGGGTGGCTAGGTCCTTATTCCCAGTCTGTCTTAGTCTAGAAGCTCTGCTGAAACCTGTCCACTATGGGTGACCCTGCTGGTATTTAAATACCAATGGCAAAGCTTTCAGCATCACACCAACATAAGGATAACACAGTATGACAACTGACAGACAGGCACTGTGGTTCCCTGACAGGGAAATGAACCTAGATTGTGGTGGTGAGAACACAGAATCTTAACCACTAGACCACCAGGGCTCGCTCTCCTAATATTAGCACAAACATATTATTTGTAATAACTATATAATGGTATTGAAAGATTTAAATGAAAAGTGGTTGGATGAAACATTTTCATCAGAAAAGCAAATTGATTAACATCAATAAAATATTTTTTAAAAAGCGGCAATTCTGGTGTGTCATGGACCATTTAAGCAGTAAAAGGGCAGAGAGAGTACAGGATCAGGGCATCTGACATGTGGAAGTAGGGAAGAAGGTGCTAGAAGCCAAGTGCATCTGCCCTTTAACTCCTTTTGAGTCTTACCGCTGCCAAGATTCTACCACTTTTTCTAATCCTATAAAAAGAGTAGGCTGTGTACTTTCCAGCCTTCCATCTACTGCCTGATTATAAATTGCTCCTCACCTGACACTCTGTGCTGGCTATGGTCTGAAGCATCTACAACCCCAGCAGTGGGGAAAGCCTTAAGACTAATTTATGTTACTGGACAGAGCTGGGCATGGGGGTGTCTTATAAACTACATCGGCTGTTAAGTGTCGAAGGCCAGGACTTAAGAGTTAACATTCTGTAATTAATCCTATCACTTTGTAGCCTGAATATTTGTAATAGAATAACTCTACCTCTCTTTTCTTAAAAATACCTTCAGAGGGAGAACCTGACCTGCTCACTTTATCCCCAGCTCCTCCAAAGCCACAAAACCCAACCAATGAATATTTAAAAGAGCTTCAAGGCGAAAGGATATCCAGATAGGGCTACACATGTGAGGAAAAATAACTGACGTTACGTTTATTACCTAAAATAAGTAGCAATGCAGAGAATTACCACCAACATAGGATAATATATATAGAATCCATCTGCAATAAAGGACAAAACTTTCATGGAACCCATAATCTGAAAAGCAAGAAAAAAATAAGTTAAATCAGCACAGTTCTATATTTTTCATCACTAGAAAATTTGCCCATAACCAGTTATATCAATAAATTTGGACTTTTAAAAAACTAAAAACAAAGCACTAATTGTAGACTTATTTTTAAGTTCTCAAAAGAAGAAGAAAAACATTTGCAACTACATGAGGTGATAGGTGTTAATTAAACTTACTGTGTAATTTCACAACATATACATATATCAAATCAAATCACTATGTTGTACACCTTAAACTAATACAGTGTTTTATATCAATTATATCTTAATTTGCTTATTTTAGTTTTCACCTAAATAAAATTAATATTTTACAAATATTATTGACAATTATCATACACATTAAGACCATAAACATAAAAGCTAATATTATTATATATCAAGTCTACTGTTACTGCTCAGCTGGACAATCTATGTGAACCAAAAATTTTTTTTATAATAAAAGAGAGCAAAATCACTTTTATCCCGTCATTAGTAATTACACATACAACCCTTAAAAAACCTTTTTATTAAAAAAAGATCCTAATAAGGCTACAGAATTCTTCTGTCAGCATTAAAAGAAATTTCATAATAATAACATCTCATATAGATAACGAATCTAAAAAACTCCGTTTTCAGACCATACTTACAGATGTATAAGCAGTTGGCTGTGTATTCTGGTGAGAAATGGATGAATCCATATGGGTCAAACCCAAGAAATTAAGACATAAAGGAGGAGTCAAACGGCAAAATAACCTGCAATAAGCATTTATAAACAGAATATATAAAAAAGAAAGCAGTAAAATACACTGTATATTATATTGAAATGTATTAAGAACATTTCAGATCATTGTAACTTCACCTATTTGTATTACATATATTTTGAATTCTTAATATGAACTGCCCTCACTTATTGGGAGACATTCTGAGAATCCCATTAATCACAATCCACTTAAAAACATGAACACCTACATGGCAAAACTCCAGCCTCAGGCTGCCTGTTTTGGTAGTGTTTGCCACTGCTTTCTCCCAAGAATTTGTGGACTGCCATTCTATCTGCCTCTTTCAAGACTACCATCTGTCTCAGCAGCACAACGCAACAGTAACATCCTTAAGGTGAACTGTACTCAGTACATAAAAGATCTTAAGTTGTATCAAAGTATGTCACTCTGACAAGTACAGGTATAAAGAATTGTTAGGGTTCAGTTTTGTTCAGATAAAAAGAGGACCTCACAGAACAACAGAGTTGGAGAATAGGGGGAGAGGAAAATGAAGGGACAGTATGAATACAAAGAGATAATATGAGGAGTTCTATTGTGGTGATAGGATTGTTATGTATTTTGATTGTGGTGGTGGTTACAGGAATCTACAGAGGCCCTTCCCAACATGAATAAAGAATAAAAAATGGCGAGAACTAAAGAAGGTTTGCAGCCTAGTTAACAGTAATGTATCAGTGTAAAATTCTTGGTTTTGATATTGTACAACAGCTATATAAAACGTCTCCATTGGGGAATCTGGGTGCAGGTTAGTAGGACTCTTTGTATTATATTTGCAACTTCCTGTGAGTCTATAATTATTTGGAAAAAAAGGTAAAAAAAAAAGTCTTAGAGATGCTTCAGATATTAATTGACATTAATTTCTCTATAAACTTCCCTAAGCCCAGCCTTTATAAATACCTGATAATTTAACAATATGGAGAAATAATAGATTGTGCAACTTTGCCCAAGCTGAAGCCATCTATCTAAACTTACTAAATCTCTTAACAAAAATGATTCCTGTTGGTTTTCTTAGTCCTCCACAATTTAGTTCAAGGCCACTAAATCTCACAACACTCTCTAGGTCTGACTTAGTCTCTAAACTCTCAAATGTTCCTATTATTTACTAACCTATTACTGAATCTCTAATTGGTAAATCCAGGCTCAATATGTCTTTCTTTTACCTCCTAACCTAGCATATCTATTTTAACTTTAAACTTCAAGCAGGATTTAGCTAGCAATCAACAAACATCTAATTAATACTTAAATCTAATCGATTAGCTCACAGAAATACAGGCGTTAGTGGAAGACCCATAAACAACAAAAAATAAGAGAGATCCACAAGAATACATGCAATAAAGACAATTTCCTTGTTTCCAAACACAATCCTACTTACATGCCACTGAAAAGAAGGCTATACGCATCAGTCTGGTGATGTGAAGCCAAGTAATAATAGTTAAATACACGAATCCTGAACACAGTAGAATAAACACAGATACTTAGGAAGAAGATGGAAAGGAAGCAAGCAATCTGAAAAAAACAAAACAAAACCACTTTAAGACTAAAGGACTTTAGCATGTTATATGCTATCACAAGCATTATCCTTTATTTCCAGCTAACATTTATTGACATTCTAAAATTTAAACACAGCTTTATTTTTTAACCATCTAAGAAAATGAAATTATGAAGAAAATCTACATCTCAACCAGCTCAACATCCTATCCATAAGCTTCAAATCTACCTCCTGAAGTGAGCCCGTTCTCCCATTCCCTTGGCAACTCTTCACATGAAGACTATAAGTTACGTTGCTTCACTGGCATAAACAGGATCAAAGTATTCTTGTAAAAGAATTTGGCACTGTTTTGCACCTTTTCATCTTTCTTTAAATACAGTTCTGAGTTTTTATAGTCTGGATAAATTGATGAAGCTCATTTTTGGAAGTGTGAATAATAATACTGGGAAACATCACTGTTTTCATTATTACTAGAAGAAATATGTGGAGAAAAGATACAACAGTTAAGGATTATACTATGAGCTGATATATATTTACAACAGATATAAAATAAACTGACCTCAATATAGATATAATTGTATGTTTTTTCAGCCAGCTGTATGAAGACTGCAAAGAGGGATAAAACAGGTGTAGTGCTAAAGAATGTGCACTCTGACCACACAACAATCACAGAGAAGATAGACAAAACCACAGCAAGTATCCTATAAAACCATGGTCGCAAAAGACATTCCCAGTACCATTCTGGAAGATAAAAGAAAAAACTGATTAGGAAAATCATAAAAGAGTAAGAGGGTATTTACATTGTCTCAAAATATCTCCATACAAGATACATAATTGTAAAAAGAAAAATAGTAATTTTACAGTGGAGGAACCAGGCAGACACCATCCTAAGCAAATGATCACCATTAACGGGACAAACTGACATTATGGGCCTCCTGCTATGATGCACTGGGAAGAACACAGCATCACCACTGTGATAGTCCTGCCAAAAATGCAGAACCTGCCTCTGATCATGAGGAAATATCAAACTCAAGTTCAGGGACACTCAATAAAAAACTTGCTTACACTCTCCAAAAACCTCAATGTCATAAAACACAAATGGAGACTGAGAAGTTGTTCCAGGTGAAAGGAGACATAACTGACTGCAACGCCTGATCCGGCAGATTTTACAAAGAATATTATTGGGACGATAAACAAAATCTGAATAAGCCCTGCAGATAATAGTACTATATTGATGTTAATTTCCTGATTTTGATCATTGTATTTGGTTATGTGAGAAAATGTTTTTATTTTTAGAAAATATACACTGAAACCTTTAGAAACAAAGAGGCATCACAGTCTGGATTCAACTCTAAAAAGATTAAGGAAAAATATATACACACAGAGAAAGATAAAGCAAATGAATACAGAAAAAGGATAACATTTGGAGAAGGGTATATGGGAATTCTTCGTGCTATTCTGACAACTTTTTGTTAAGTTCGGCTTTAGGTAAAAATAAAAGTTTTAAAAAAAAAAGGAAAGCTCACAAAATTTAAAAGGCTCTATTTTCACTTCACTCATTGATGAACTGAGCTCTTGGCTCACTCTAAATCTTTTTAACCCATCTCAGTCCAATTCCTGGGGATTTCAATATCCACATATGTGCTCCTCCTTTCAATAACCTGGTCTTTCACTTCCTTGACTTCCCCTCCTCTAATGTTCTTATCCTCCATCTTACCTTAACTACTCATTCCCATAGTCATCCCTAAACCTTTTACTGCCAGTAACTCCAACCCATCCTTATAATCCCATTACAAAATCCCTGTTTCCAAGCAACACCTTTATGTAGTATTCCAGCTCCACTGACTGACTCTACCCGGACCAACAATCCACCTTTTTATTGCCACTTAACACCATGATGTCCTTACTGCTTTCTTTACCTAGCTCAGATTCCATAGTCTTTGAGGATAATCACTCTCAAACATCCCAATTCCTTTGCCCTCTCTTGCTCCCCTCTACTTACTAAGCTAAACCATACCCTGGTGAGATCTAACTCCCTGGCTACTCTGAGCCTGCACCCATGAAGCTGCACATTGCAGAAGTAAGACACACAACTTGGCTGACTCATCTCACTTTAAATTCTTCATCACCAGCTTCAAGTGAACCCTGAGCACTGACCGGCTAGCCTACTATAATTCACCAATCTTCTCCCATGCCCACCCTCCTAAGCAACTATTTTGCATCTTCTCTTCTTTCCTCAAACCTCCAAAATCTCTTCCCCTATACTTAACTCTTGAGCATTTCACTGAGAAAATAGAAGCCAGCATAAGAGAAGCTCCCTTAGTTCTCACCACTACATCCTACCTGCTTAGGTACATTTGTGCCTTATCTAAGGCTATTCTCTTCATTGTTCCCCAATTTTCCCATTTCATCTCTCCTACTTGTGAACGTTGTCCTAGCCATTCTCTTCTGCTTCATCAAATTTCTTCTAAGATATCATTCCCAAATTGCATGCTATAATTTCTCTTGACCCACCATCCTTCTCCTCTTTCCTCTATTTCCTTTTACAAGGAAAATGTTTCCAGAGTTTTCTATTCTGTCTCTAACTGCTCTCCTTGTCATTTCTCCTAAACTCCAATCAGGCCTTTTTACCCTCTCCCCCACCTCTCTTCTCTGAAATCCAATGGTTAAGTCTTAGTATTCATAACAGTCGACCTATCTCCAACACTTGAAAAGGTACTTTACACACCTTTTTCTTCAAAACACTTCACTGTCCTGGTTTCCCTCCTATCTCACTGGTCACTCCTTTTTTAATCTTTTCTTCTGGTCCTCATCACCATGATGTCTAAATTATGGAGTGCCTCAGGCTTGGTCCTTAGACTTTCTCTCTTCTCTACACCAATCACTTCTTTATTGATTCCCTCCTGACCCATGGCACATCTAGACATTGATGACACCCTAATTTATATTTGCAGACCAGACTTCTCCCCTGAAATCCAATTTCCATAGCCAATTACCTCCTCAGCATCTTATTTATACCTTTACGTGTAATTATCTGTTTCTCTCACTCCACAAGGGCAGAAATTTTTGTCTTTTTTATTCATCGCTATGTACCAAGCACCCAAAAATACATAGTATATATATGCTCAAATATTTGCTGAATGAATGAAAACAAATGTATCATTCCTTCATTTAATTAGAAGAGATCTTGACTGAAGAAGTTTTCTGGGATGTTTGTTATGGTCATAATATCTTCATACTCAAGATCACACATGCAAAAAGAGAATCAACTGAACATAACCATTTGATTAAAAAGTAAACAAATTTTAATACTGTGACACTTTCATATTTTCATTAAGTTCTTCACACTAAATTTGATAACATTTGAAGACAGTGTCATAAATAATTATAAAGGGGAATAAAATAATTATGACTATTGAGTATAGGTTCTGTAAATAGACTAATAAATGTAAATAGTCAAAGAGGACTTCTTAGGAGAATATTTTAGTACTCATGTCAAGACTGAAGAAGAGAGCCAAGCTTGTGATGTAAAACTGCTTAAAATTCTAATTATTTTAAGTATATATTATGTTTACAAAATATGCTTGATGTATGGCATATATTTTTGTTGAGAATTATGGTTATCTGTGAAGTAACAGTGAAAACTGATAGATTATGTATTATATGACAAGTAAAGTAGTTTTTGGGGGGGAAGTTTATCAGATACATAATATTACCACATGGTATAAGTCAAATAATACAAATACAATTCAGCTCTGCATTGGTGAAAATATACATACTTTTTTCCTTCAGAAAAATGATCATCATTAAACTCTGAAATTTATATCAAATTACATACCAACTGTAGGACTATAAAAATGTTGGGTAAATCTATTTTCTGGGTCTGGTGATTGAAAGGTGTGAACAAACTGATGAGTAGCACTAGTTTCATTTTTTGCTACATCTTCCAGATAAAATGCTTGTTCCAAAAGAATTTGCCATTGTACTTGAGTTCGACGGTGCCTCTGAACTGAATAAATCACCTAAAAAAGAGAACAGGGGTTACACCTGGCAGTGTTCTGTTCCAATAATGGTTCAATTCCCCACTAGGGAGAATGTTTTGGCTGTCACAACACTGGGAAAGTGCTAGTGGCATTTACTGGGTGGAGCCAAGGATGTTAATATTCTATAATATGTCTAACAATTAAACTCAGTGAATAATTCTCCCTCCCAAAATGCCAAAAGTACTCATCGAGAAAATGAAGTTAAAACACTTCAAAGAATAATGATAAGGACAGGATCAAAGGAAGTTTCAGATATATGTTCACTCAAAATTCCTTTTTTCTGTGGGCATTAATTATAAATCTAACTAGAATTATCAGTAAGTAAAACAGCTATAATTAATAAAGTTACCTGTTTATGTAGTTTTACCAGACTTTTTTCACTTGGGTAGGTATTATGCTTTTCATCAAAATCTTCATAATCATCCATGTTCCTACCCATTTTTTCCTGATACTCCGTAGGGCACTAAAAGGAACAAGCAGATTTTTAAAAATCTTATTTGCAAAAAGATAAAAATTTTATTTATATTAAAAATCTTCCTGGGGCTGGCCCTGTGGCCGAGTGGTTGAGTTTGGGCGCTCTGCTGCAGGTGGCCCAGTATTTCGTTGGTTCGAATCCTGGGCACGGACATGGCACTGCTCATCAAACCACGCTGAGGCAGCATCCCACATGCCACAACTAGAAGGACCCACAACGAAGAATATACAACTACGTACTGGGGGGCTTTGGGGAGAAAAATGAAAAAAATAAAATCTTAAAAAAAAAAATCTTCCATTCTTGCGCACTTCTAATTTTCTTGAAAACACTTCTTCCTTTATTGGCATCTCTAAATAGTTAGATTTTTAGTTGCTGACATTTTCTTGAAAATGCTTTAAAAGATATATTTGATTACTTCTTACCTCTATTAAAATTAATCTTTATGCTCAGATACACCAGCTGGGGATGGGTAGGGAAGGGGGCTTACCTACATGAAGCAACTAGTATTTGAGAGAATTATTCTAGGTAGTTTCCTGAACTGTCAATTATTTTCCTAGCTAAATAATGAAGAATCACAACAAATCCAAGATGTTGAATTTTTGAAAGCCATAGTACAGAGAAACAGATACATGATTGGGAGTTATCTGCCCTACTGTTTTTTAAGTCATTTACTACCCACATGAACTTGGGGAAGTCAACCTTCCTGAATAGGTCTCAAAAGGTAGCAAATGTGAGAGAAATGATTCAAGAACTGATTCTCATGATATCACCTTAGCCAAAAGGAACACTGGTTAATAATCAATATAATAGATTTAAAATATAGGAAAAGAAACAGTTCACTGGTTCTTTGGTCCCATATAAGACAATTGGGGAACTCACTGGAAACAATTGCTTTTGGAAGAATACAAATACTCCTAATTTAATACCAACGCATACCTTAATTGTATGGCTTCTTAATGGAATATCTGTGTTAAATATCTCATGTCATTCACTCCATGAAACGTAAAATGTATTGTAAAATGACATGTAGGAAGCTGACTGAAAGAGATCACTGAGGCCCCAGTTTGTTTTCTTACAGGAGATATGACTTTAGCGGCCAAACTCAACGACACTTTTACAAACTTTAAAGGTCTATCTCCATCGCTGTGTCATGGTAATCATTATATATTACTTAACATAACCTCTACAGCCACATTTCAATGGAAAATACTGCCAACAATTAATGTTAAATTTGTAATAACAAAAGAACAAATTCTATGTACAAATTACTACTGGTTTATAGTTAATATTTCCATGAAAACAGAAAGGAGTTGGGAAGACCTCGGTCATATGCTGTTCTCATACTTTTTTTTTTTTTTAAAAGATTTTATTTTTTTCCTTTTTCTCCCCAAAGCCCCCCAGTACATAGTTGTAGATTCTTCGTTGTGGGTCCTTCTAGTTGTGGCATGTGGGACGCTGCCTCAGCGTGGTTTGATGAGCAGTGCCATGTCCGCGCCCAGGATTCGAACCAACGAAACACTGGGCCGCCTGCAGCGGAGCGCGCGAACTTAACCACTCGGCCACAGGGCCAGCCCCTGTTCTCATACTTTTTTGATGCTTTTATAATATGTTATATAAATTTATGTTTCAAAAGAAAATAGATGAGAATATGATTTAATTACCTTTTTAAGTATTGTGTCAACACATTTTCTCAGTGGGTGATTATACTTGATGCTTCCATTCACTTTACAAACCTCCTATAAAAACAGTAAGAGAAATAAAAATATTTCCATTTCTATAGATCAGACATTTCAAATGAGAATGCTGTAAATACTATATATATTCTCATGAGTTTGATTTCAACCCAAATTACTTAGCATATACATGAATTTCCATTCACTGAATAGAAGTTCTTAAGAACACAAGTAAAATTACAAAGTTATAAAATAGCTATATCTATACCCTCACATTTCTTATTACTTTCTAGATTTATTTCCTTATCATTAGCTTACTTAGTACACAAAGATGAATAAGCATTTAAAAAAGTCATGAAGGATCAGACAAACTTTGCAATCCCGTAAGAACAGGATCGTGTTTCTCCACCTTGCTCATCAAGTTCAATTATCTCATTATTTAAAATACAGTGAAGAAACCAGAGGAAGCAGAATAGACTATAAGCATTACAAAGCACCTGCTCTTTTCCAATGGGAGAGTATTCTATAGCAGTCACAACTGACGATCCATTTAATAAAAGTTTGTTTACTAAAGTACACCATATAGCAGCGCTGTGCTAGGTGTAACATCACCACAATCCATTCTGGAGGGTGGGGTGGGAAGACATGGTGTTAAAGGTCTTTGACTAAGAGTACCACCTGGTGATGAGAAAATTAAATAAGCAATTTAATGAGTATGGAAGGCTTATAGGGTTAGGGAGGGGAATCTTTAGAACCAGTAGTTCCCAAAGAATCACAATATTCTATAATATTAATGAAATTTTCAAAAAGTTGGAACACTGTTCTAGGCAGAAGAAACAGCATGTTCAAAGGCTAGGAGACGAGAGAACTGACTAGGATACTAAAAGAACATTCTGATCGTAGGGTAGAAAATGGACTTAAACTGGAGGCAGGGAAACAATCTGGTATATAGACAAAGTTATGAAAAAATATTTATAACTTACATGACAAAAAAATCACTATGCTTAATATAGGGAGAGTACTTACAAATCAATAGAAAAATGGGCAGACACAGAAGAAATACAATTGGCCAATAAATGTCTGAAAAGATATTCAAACTCACTAAAAATAACTCCAGTTTTTAAAATGAGAATAGAGAATGAGAAGAAATTTCTTGCAAAATTATAAAAAATTGATATCATGTAATGAGGTAAGATTGTGAGGAAACATACACAGTATGTTTCCCCTCATACAGAGTAAAATGTGATATAACATATTTTGAAGCTACTTTAGCAATATCCATCAAAATTTAAAATATGCAAATCTTATGAATAATCTGCACTAACAGACACTGCTCCTGTCAAGGAGCTTAGCTTAATGAGGAAAAAAGACATTATTCAAACAGAAATGGTGTGGAAACTGCTCTATAATCTAGTGTGGGAGACTTTCTGATGAACTGATTACTTAAACTGAGATAAAAAGCATGACTACTAGTCAGCCCAGGCCTCGCGAACCTGAGTGCTTTGCTGAGCCCCTAAAGAGGGAATGTGTACTGGCGGCTGTGGGAAGAGGCAGCAGCAGCTTTTAACCCACTGGAGATCACTTTCCTGGTGGGGAGAGGGAGTTCATAGAGCCCCTGAGGCGCCAAAAAGTGGCCCCAGCTCTGTCAAGCAAGGAAGCCCCACCCACCAAGCACACTCCACACAAGCGCCTGAACACATCCCAGGCTGGGGCAAGCACCCATAATACTCCCACAGCCTCCAACAGACAGGGTGGGACCAGAAACTGCTCCTGCTTCCTCTTAGTGGTAACAGGTGGAATCTGTGTCCTAAGAATACCACAATTGCCCAGACAGAGGATTAGCTCATCAAGCATCATGAGAAACCACGGTAACAATTCAGACCAAGAAGAAAATGACAATTCTCCAGAAACCAACCCTGAAGATACAGAAATTTATAACCTAAATGACAGAGAATTCAAAATAGCCATCATAAGGAAACTCAATGACTTACAAGAAAACACAGAAAGACAACTCAAGGAGTTCAGCAATCAAATGAATCTCTTCACCAAAGAGATTGAAAATTTAAAAAAAAAATCAAGCAGAAATTCTGGATACGAAAAACAATTAATGAAATAAAAAATAATCTAGAAGCATTAAGAAATAGAATGGGTCTTATGGAGGAAAGAATCAGTCTTCTAGAGGATAAAAATGTAGAAATTGTACAGGTGGAGGAAGAGACAGAAGTAAGACTTTAAAAAAATGAAGGAATTCTTTGAGAAATATCTGACTCAATTAGGGAAAGCAACATAAGAATTACAGGTATTCTAGAGGGAGAAGAGAAGGAGAAAGGAGCAGAAATCTTGTTCAAAGAAATAATTGCTGAGAACTGCCTAAGCCTGGGGATGGTTAAGGATTTACAAATGAATGAAGTTAATACAATGCTAAAAGACCTTCTTCATGGCATATAATAGTAAAAATGGCAAAAGTGAATGATAAAGAAAAAATATTAGGAGCAGCAAGGCAGAAGAAAATAACCTATAAAGGAACCCTACCAAGCTTTCAGCAGATTTCTTGGCAGAAACCCTACAGGCTAGGAGAGAATGGAATGATATAGTCAAAATACTAAAAGACAAAAACTTTCAGCCAAGAATACTCCAGCGAAACTTTCATTCAGATATGATGGAGATATAAAAGCTGTCCCAGACAAACAAAAGCTGATGGAGTTCATCACCACTAGACCTCCCCTACAAGAAATAATTAAAGATGCCCTCACACTGGCAACAAAAAGGCAAAGGTCTACTAAGCTCTGAGCAAGGAGATAAATAGATAGACAGGATCAGACACCTGCAGCTCTCTACCAGAATAGGAAGGCAAAGACTCAATTGTAACTTAAAGGAGAAGGGGAAAGAAAGCATCAAAAGTAATGATAAACACTTCAACTTAGCCACAAACTCACAAAATTAAAAACAGAATAATTTGTAACAGCAATTAGAAGGGGAAAGGAAAGAGAAGGAACCTGCTTAGGTTAATGGAAATAAGAGGCTATGAGAAAATGGTCTATCTCATCTCCAATATCTTTCATACAATCCTCATGGTAACCATTAAACAAAAAAATCAGAGCAGAGCCACAATTCACAAAAAGAAAGAAAACTGGGAAATCCCCCTCAGAAAACCACCAAAATGAAATGGGAGTGAGAAATAAAAGAAAGAGAAACAATGGAAACATAAAAAACAGAAAACAAGAGATAAAGTGGCAGTATTAAGCCCTCATATATCAATAATCACTCTAAATGTAAATAGACTGAATTCTCCAATCAAAAGACACAGAGTAGCTGGATGGGTTAAAAAACAAGATCCAACAAAATGCTGTCTCCAGGAAAGGCATCTCAGCTCCAAAGACAAACAAAGGCTTAGAGTGAAGGCTTAGAGTGAAGACAATACTCCAAACTAATGGTCAACAAAAGAAAGCAAGTGTTGCCATACTTTTATCAGACAAAGCAGACTTCAAGTTAAAAAATATAATGAGAGACAAAGAGGGGCAATGTATAATAATAAAAGGGACACTCCACCAAGAGGATATAACACATATTAATATATATGCACCTAACACAGGGGCACCAAAGTATATAAAGCAATTATTAACAGACCTAAAGAGAGAAATTAACAGCAACACAATAATAGTAGGGGACCTCAACACCCCACTCACATGTAAGGACAGATCATCCAGACAACAAGTCAACAAGGAAATAGTAGATTTAAATGAAACATTGATCAAATGGACTTAATAGATATATAGTGAACATTCCACCAAAACAGCAGAATATACATTCTTCTCAAGTCACGTGGACCATTCTCAAAGACAGACCATATGTTGGGAAATAAGACAAGCCTCAACAAATTCAAGAAGATTGAAATCATCCCAATCATCTTTTCTGACCACAATGCTATGAAGACACACATAAAAAAAGAAAAAAATGGGGAAACTCAGAAGTATGTGGACACTAAACAACATGCCATTGAACAACCATTGGATAATTGAAGAAATCAAGGGGGAAATTAAAAAATACCTAGAGGCAAATGAAATGAAAAAACAGCATACTAACTCTTATGGGATGCAACAAAAGTGGGCAAAAGAGGGAAATTCATAGCAATACAGGCCCATCTCAAGCAAGAAAAATCTCAAATAAGTAATCTTAACATGCACCATGTAACAGAGCTAGAAAAAGAACAGACAAAGCCCAAAGTCAGCAGAAGGAGGGAAATAATAAAAATCAGAGCAGAAATAAATGAAATAAAGACTAAAAAAACAGTAAAAAGGACGAATGAAACTAAGAGCTGGTTCTTTGAGAAGATAAAGAAAATTGACAAGCTTTTAGCCAGACTTAACAAGAAAAGAGAGAAGGCTCAAATAAACAAAATTAGAAATGAAAGAGGAGAAATTAGAACAGATACTGCAGAAATACAAAGGATTGTAAGAAAATACTATGAAAAACTATATGCCCACAAATTCAATAACCTAGAAGAAATGGATGAATGCCTAGACTCATACAAGCTTCCAAAACTGAATCAAGAAGAAATAGAGAATCTGAACAGACCAATCAGAAGCACAGAGACTGAAAAAGTAATCAGAAACTTCCCAGAAAACAAAAGTCCAGGACCAGATGGATTCTCTGGAGAATTCTACCAAACATTCAAAGGAGATTCAGTAACTATACTTCTCAAACTATTCCGAAAAATTGAAGAAGATGGAAGGCTTCCTAACACATTGTATGAGGCCAACATTACCCTGATACCAAAACCAGATAAGGACAACACAAAGAAGGAAAACTACAGGCCAATAACACTGATGAACTTAGATGCAAAAATCCTCAACAAAATACTGGCAAACAGAATACAGCAATACATTAAAAGCATCATACAGCACAATCAAGTGGGATTTATTCCAGGGACGCAGGGATGGTTCATATTCGCAAATCAATCAATGTGATACACCACACTAACCAATTGAGGAATAAGAATCACATGATCATCTCAACAGATGCAGAGAAAGCATTTGACAAGATCCAACATCCATTTATGATAA